ACAGAAACTCAATGTAAGATGTTGTGCGGTATCTGTCTACAATATGGTACAACCGGATGTCGACACCACCGTTTCAGCATTGTGCTGTCAGATCGTGTTTTCATGAAGGTTCTGCAAGGTGATATGGAACTTTTCGAGGCTTCGCGCGTCAGCTGAACAAATCATTCATGGACTCAGTAAGCTGCAACTGCGTGGGACGAGTCGGTAATCATGTCTTCAAGACGAACGATTTTAAAAGCTGAGGAGCAGTCCAATGCGTCTACGTGAGGAAATCTAAAGAAACGTTTGAATACGTGTGTCTGTATGTCGATGATACGATCATTGCAGCCAAGACAAGTGACGATGTTCTAAGGGTCAAGCGGATACCAAAGAGTGTTTTGAAAATGTAGGATCTCGGTATGGTTAAACTCGTCTGAGGCATAGATATCGACTACGCAGAAGCCATAATGACCAAACAATCATGCTGTATGGACGACGTATTTGAGCGCTTTGGCCAATAAAGCGACAAGGACGTCGACAAGTCCTGTGTGTCCGGTCCAAAATGGTCAACATCACAGTCAGTCATCAGTAGAAAAGCTTGACATTTGGAGGTGCGCTCGAGATTATACCGCTCTCTCATTGGCTGTCTGCTTTATATTACAACGCGCACTCGTCCGGACATCGCATTTGTCATCGCGGAGCTGACTCGATTTCTCGAGAGTCCCGCCCGGGTCACAACATTGGAACTCCGCAATTCCATGTACTACGCTTTTTGAGGTATCACGGAATTACCGGCCAAAGTGAAAGTAAAAAGGTGGTTGTCGAATCTGTATTGGATGCAGACTGAAGTAGCGACACTAATGTCAGACGCTCCGTATCAGATGTTTTGATCGATATAGTAACTACCCGGTTGTGTTCAAGCCCACGAACAAGAGGGCTGTCGTACTGAGTTCCGCAAAACCAAGCGTATGGCTCTCAAATTATGTACACAAGAATTGCGTAGTGCGCGCAATACTAAATGCCATTGGTCATGAAAAAGTGGGAGACGCACAGTCATGGTAGAAATCTAAAAGCTAGAGCTTTGGTGAACAAAGAAGGTAACCACACTCGTGCAAAGCACGTTGACATCAGGTACCGTGTTATTTAAAAGAACGTTCCGCATTCAATTGACTACATTGATACGGAGCCTCGACTTGCATATATGCTGACGAAGACACTCGAAACCACGATGCTCAAGTTTTTCTGTACGATGCAACGGCAATCAAGACCAAGTCAGCGACCAATCACACTAAATTTCAGCAGTGAGTGGGAGAGTTGAGACTACACCGCTGAATGCGTGTGGATGACGTCACAAAAATTACAGGAACGGTCCCAATTACTGTCGTGATTATTCCCCATTATTACAGACATGAATTTTGTCATTCATTGGTCCAGATAAGTTAGGGTACAATTAGTAGGCTTAGAGGAAGCACAGAATAGCGAAGTTAGGACCTTGCATGATATTTTTACTTCGTCTATTGCTATCATCTCTTCCTTTTTTACCACGCTTGGAATCAGATAAAAAGCACTTCACGGGGAGCTTTCCGAGCTGACTCAATTCTCCAGCTCAACCGGTGGATCAAGACGAAAGACAAACTAGCTAAAATTCTGCATTGGCAGTGCACACAACCGCGAGGGCATTTTGTCCTTGATATGATAATGCCTTCATAATGCACACAGCTGACTCGGGCTGGAACGGGTTACATGTAGCCAGCGTGTAAGGGAGTTGCACGTACCCTTGTATGACAGGGCAAATCACACAAGATGGTGTGATCGTACAAAAGTGTGGAAAACAAAATTTGGTGTTATCACACATTGATGTGGCTACACCGTAACAAGAAGCCAATACGTGGCAGGACGGACAATAGTAATGCATTTTATTTCGGTATTACAATACTAATTAGGTATTGCTATATGAATTAGGTACTACTATATCAATCAGGTATTACTATATTAATAAGGTATTGCTATATTAATTAGGAAATATAAGGTTTTATAAATTGGCGGCTCTGCCGCATCTAAAACAATTTTATCAGTTTTGATTTTGATCGGAAGAGCGTCATTCCCTTGGTTAAGGTTCAAGTACTCTTGGAGTGCGATCCGCTACACTCGTACTATTATTATTTTTTGTAAAGAACGCAAGGTCGGTGACCTTAGCTTAGCTTCCTCTAAGCAAAGAGCTACGGCAGCTCCGCTGCACGGGCTTAGCATTGACATTTTTACTATAGCAGGATACCAATTGACGATCCGACCGTCTTTCGTTCGCTTGGTGTACGATAAAGACCTTGTTAATAGCGGCGACCGACATGTTGGGTTTGTATCGCGCCTCCATAAACGAAGATTTGAGTGTAGGACGGAATATTCAGCTTGCAACAATCCAAACTGAAAGGATAACGCACATTTAGCTGGGTAAAGGTCGTTTATGGATTTGCTGAGAGAACCATTTCAAATATTTACAAGAGTGAAAGCCTCTTCGACAGCTGTTTGACAATTATAGCGAATTGCTTCCCTAGCATAATCTTATGGCTTTCAAAACATTAGATTTGACAGGTGAAATCGATCTTTGGTCCATGTCAATTGCATGGAAAACATGTTTTCCTGTGAAAACACCGATAGCGTACTTCATACATACAGATAGCTCTGGTATGATTCGTGACTTGCCATCTTCAGGTTGACTAGTGATCTCTTAATCCAAGAGAAACTTAACTTATTCAGACTATCTGAGCAAACAAAGATAATTTTTGCTCTGCAATCCGGCAGAAGAGTTATTGCCTTATTTATTTCGAAAACTCTTTAGAAAGTAAACAAATTGCTAGACAACCTGGTGGCCAACTCCACGTATTGTTATCACGCTGGAGGCAAATTGACAATGCCACACCGCTCCCCATATCAGGCGAGTAGGCGCAGTCGCTTACTGGCCCTTTATTTTCTTAAACGATGCATGATGGTGCCTTACTATCAGCACGGCTTAAAGCATTGGTTGCTGATACTGATGCTTGACATTGAGGAAAAATCACTAAGTGTCGGACATGATATTGCGAGAGAATTTATTGTTCCGAAAAACGGCTAAGTGATTTGATATTAAAATTTGAGATCAAATGTCATACATATAGAGCAATTTGGCCATATTTTTTGGAATTAACACTGAGATGACTTAAGTGGCGTCTGCTAATTCGACCTAGAAATCATAAGGCTCAATCCGATGTCAGGAGTTTGAAAGCTCATGGCTTGACCTTTCCAATACGCTGGAAAATTACATACATCACTCATCAAACATCTGACTTGCATGTTTTGAAAGCTCACAAAACCAACGTCGGAGGGGTTTATTTTGTCGTCGTCACAAACTTCTCAGTATCGATGTTTGGCTCTCCGACACAATAATCAACCTACTCGAGCGCGTTTTTCTACAAGAGCCGCTCAATACTTTTGAAAAACGCTTTTTTAGCTATGTGTCTATTTTACATTCATATGCATTACATTTGTTTGTATAGAAAACGAAAACGAACACAGATTAGCCGAGTCCCCAAAGGATATTTTTTGACACAGTGTTCGGTGTTCACTGTGGGGTTCCAAGCCAGTACCTTCATCCTCGCGTCCTTTTAAACGGTTTACTGATCAGGTCGGATATTATGACGGCAGAGCAAGTTGGTTAAATATGATAATGTTAGAGCGAGAAAACTATATGACCATAATAAAGATTTATCTTCTGGGTTTCTTATTACAGATTGACAACTAAGCCCTCCGGGACCCCAAGCGCCTGGAGTGAAGCACATTTAAGGATCAAGTGTCAGATTTATGCTACAACATCCGTACCCACGATGGCAAAAACGCATCAAAGTTCTCCTAGGGAGTGGTGACCTCTTCCACTGAAGGTGCAATATGAGGATGACTCTGGTGAGGAAAGGTCGATTTAAGCATGTGAGGACGGCAATGATTCAAACGATTTCACAGACACGCACCCTATGAACAACGCCAAGGCTCAGGTGCTATTGTGCAAGGTGTTGAAATTCATTAGGCCGGCCACGATCACCATGGAGGCATGGGGAACGCTATGTGAATCTAACAATCGGTCGACACTGAACAATTGCGGGATGATGACGCGACGACTTCAAGAGTTCAAGGCGAGAAGTGATCTAGCAGTGCGGTCGGTAGCAAATCTTGAAATATATACTTCGAATATAGCGGAAGCGCTCAGTCTCTCGATCGGACTCTTCATTTATTTGATCGTAGCAATTGATCCGATGACGACGAACTCTATATTTCTGACTTTGGTAATATTGCCAGCAAACAGAAAAGTTTCACGCTGCCTAGAAGGTATCGAACAAAGACAATTTTTTTTCTATGTTAAAGTCTCACAAGAGTATCATCAATTTGGAGTCAGCATGAACACTTCAAGTCGACATCGCTGAGCGAGTGCACGCCTACCAGTAGAGCAAGCTATCATCATGTGTATGAACTATTGATGTTTCAATCGGATCTATGTCCGATCGTCGAGGTGTGCATTTGCCGTTGCTGAGATAATAGACGGTTTTGACACCCTGACTCTGATATGCTCCCCAAAGTTTATCCCGAAAGGCGAAATTACTCAAAACGAAACTGCTTGATGGTTAAAACATCCCATTCAGCTGCTGAATAGCTGTTTAAGGATTGAAGTTGAAAGCTGCTGTATATTGTTTGATATCAGTAGTACCAAACTATTCAAAGCAGCTGTCACTACACGCTATGGCGAAACTCTCACAGAAGGAGAACTAAATGTGGCGTTGAGGCTAGTTGTGCAGCAAGAAGGAGAATCTTCAATCTACGTGAAGGTACAAACACCATGGTGACATCTTCTTTTCAACCTTGTATACGTCATTGCTCCAAAGTACGACTCACGAAAAGGACGTTGAAATTTTAACACAGGCGCTTCTTACGTGCCACGCAATCTCTTGGCGTTTCTGTGTGCACAAATGAAGTCGAAAATTCACAGCTTGATTAACGGGCTAATTCTCTGCCTCTGTAGTCTGTTTGACCTCGTGCATATTATCAACACTTGGCCACGACGCTGGAAAAACAGCAGAAAAGAAAGCGTCCTCGATAATACCAATACACACCATAAGGACAACGTAGCTGAACAGTAGCATGTAACCATATACGTAGATCTGCCCAATCCACGGAGTGTATGCGACATCGATAAAAGTGTCGTGAATCTCATCACCGTTTGCCACGGAAAAAAGTGTTGTCGCCGTAACGCTAGCACTCTGGAATCGTGGGACTTTAGCCCCAAACATGATTGTTCCGAAGAGCACAAATCCAGCAAAAATTGGTAAAACACCAACAAGAAACTGCATTACTCGAGGTAACGAACGTCGTAAAGTAAGTCCTAAAATATGGAATCTTGTGTTCACCTGCAAATATCGCAAGAGGTTAGCCCAATGCAGTGCACAACAGGTAGCAAACGTGAAGCACAGTGCATCGATTAACGAAAGTTCGTAAGCGTGTCGCCACGTAGTCAGCAGACACGTCACAGTCGCCAAATTGACAATCAAAATAAACCAGAACCAAAAATCTCTGGCAGCTTCTTTGGTCACAACGAGCATCATCAAATGTTTGTTTGTGTGATAAGAATTGTCTGGATGCCGTGTAGCGACCTCTTTCATCTCAAACCACTTCAGCCAGAACTCAAGTATCTACAACGAGTATAGTCAGCTGCCTCTTTTCCTTAATAACGTCATAACTCGGTACGACAACTTACCTGGTACAAACCAATCACGATTAGTGTGATCCAATTGAACATGGTGCTAGTGTCAGCTAAAACAGGCGGCACATCGCTTTCCTTACGTCTCCTTTTAATGCCCGATAAAGGTACACGAACGAGATTGTACCTCATCGTTACCTTCAAATGACCCTGATTTAGAAAGTCATAATGTATTTGGATCGTCCACTCATACAACACCTTCTCTAATTCCATCGTGTTGATATCTTTCTCCACTTTCTTCATACCCACCACGAGCTTAATCTCCATAGCGTCCAATTCGTCAAAGAATGCTCTCGTCTCTTCTTGTGGTGCAGCCTCGCTCCCAGTGCGCAAGGCCGCTGGCCACAACGCGCTGATTGATGCGTTTGTGATGTTATAAAGCGCATCATGTGGCTCTTCGCCCATATCTGAGCGTACCGTAAGCAGTGGAGGTGGTATCTGCATTTGCGTCTCATTGCAATAAACTGAGTACGAATTTAGCGCTGTGTCTGCTAGTCGAAAGTAGTTTCGTACAACACCATGCAAATGCTGACGCGTTTCTTCAATTGTAAATAACGCACCAACTGGTAATGAGGATGCTCGCGCTGCAAATCCTCCAGCGAAAAACTCATCGTCCACATTAGCTGCAATTTCCTCCTCCACCTCGAGCAAAAAGTGAGGCAAAGTCTCCACAATTGTCTCCTCCGGTGCAATCTTTTTGACAATGTCCACATAAAAAAGAAGACGAACCCATTCGTTGGCTACGGCACGCTGGAAAGGATGCAGCGCAGAGCCAAGTTGCGAGCTACGGAATGTCAAAAGTACCGCTGCACATATTTGCAGAAGCAATCGCAAAAGCGGAAGCGCTTGAATCATCTTGATGTGACATGAAGGTAGGGAAAGAAGAGTAAATTTTTGTGACTGATCTGCAGGTATGGTAACATATCCATAATTTCCTTATCTTCGGTATCTTTCAAAACTGGCAAAAAAAAGTTTGATTCCTTAGGTTCGGCGAACTTTCGCAGCATACCTCTTCCTGTAACCGTATTATAGTGAACGTACACATTACACTTTTGTGCATTTTGCAATTTAGAAAGATGAGGACGATGGGAAATAGTACAGTGGGCATGTGGGCTGTCAGTCTCACGTTATGCAATACTTTAGCTATCATATCAAACGTAAAAGTCTAAAAATGTCATTGGTGAAAGTACAACCAAGGAAGTACTGAGTTAATCTAAAGGTTCTCGGTATCACTCCATAAGTGAAGCAGTCAGACCATCCTCTCTGCATTGTGAATACGGAATTGCTGATCCGAAAGTTTATCGGGTGCAATGTGTGCAGCAACCCCGTCGCACTTGATAGTGCTTATCAACAATCTCTTATCTCTGTGAGACTGTAAATAATCTATTTGGAGGGACACCGCAAGGAAAGTCTCAGCCAAGCGTCGGAGTAAGCACAAGAAACCTCCAATTCTGAGGTTGTTGATATTGAGCGCTTAACCCCTTTGAAGGAAGGACAGATATTATACCTATCTTTGAACGAGAGAAGTTGAGATGGCAACAGACTCGGTTATACCCGACGGAAGAACAGCGCGGCGGTCCAAAAGCTAGAGGGCTGCGCGCGAGAATGAGCACTTACACGCAGTACGTCTACTGAAGAGATAATCCCGATATTATAAGTGTTTAGTCGACATATATCACAGGCGTTGCACCGCCTAACCAGGCAAACCGAGTGCGATAAAAATTCTTGTATACCTATCGAGAGAGGCTATAATTTGGCGGACGAAGACCAGGAATTAAGACCTCCTATCTCCTCGATGACGGCAGTCTAGTTCACAAAGGCGGTAACAGTTATCATCTAGTGAAGAGTCTCCGAACTGGTGGGGCTGGTATGAAGGCCTCCCACGTCGACCTAACTCCTACGACGATCAGTGAGTGTTGCATCAAATGCGGGACACCATCCTCAGGATTGAACGGCCAGAGGTGAAGGCTCTATGTGCGCACCAGAGGCGACGAGTCTCTGCCAAGCCGACATCTAACAAAGCGATTTTTTACTGTAAGGAATCACCGAAACATTATATGTTGTATCTATAGCAGCATCATACATCTGAATCCTGTGCACCCTCATCTCCCTCGCACGGTCCATCGACAAACAACTCGCGGAAAATTGTTGAGTCTTCGTAAGAACAGTGGGAAATATTGGAAAAGACAAAGACCGTTGTGAAGGCCAAAGCCCATGGGACAAGGATCTAAACGTTAGCGAGCTTTTCCAAGGACGTTGGGCATCCATTTTTAACACCAATATCGTGGGTTTCTATAAGCTGTAAAGTCCGATAAATTTAGGAGCGTCGTGCAATTTCTTAGGATGCCCAACAGTAAAAATATGTCGACAATACGGACGGGCAATAGATATGCCAAATACACATATAATACTAGCGCATGGGCACTAACTAAATGCCAGAAAGTTTTTTACCTCTTGTAAAACTTGAGGTCTCAAAGCGTACGTTGTCTGCGGTTGACTCAAAATAAAAAGGAATAGTCTAGGGATGACGTGGCTTGAACGCCATGAGAACCCGATCGATATCTAATAGGATTTAAAATAACCACGCACTTCATTCATCTTAGAGCTTTGGCGATTATATATCGACTTCAGCTTGAAGGTTGGAAGTTTCTTGCGCGTACACATATTGCATAAATTTCTGGTGCAGGAATTATTGATAGTGATGCAGCGATGTTGCCGGCAAAGCTCACAAGGCAGACGCTGTAGTGGGTCACAGATTTTTAGTGATACAGAAAATAGAGATCGTGTACCAGAGGCTCCAAAGTGCATCTCCGCTAAGATAGTATTGAGCAACAATGTTTTGTGATCTCGGTTGTGTACCTGTGTGGATCGTTTGGCACCGCTGCAAGTCGGAGTAGCCCGCACAACAGGCGGTGAAGCCGAGAACCCGGTGCCACATGTAACTTTTGATCAATGAAGCCGCCTGGACTTTCAGTTATCAGTCACAAGTGGTGTTAGCTCTTTGGAGTGAAAAAATGATGCTATTGTAGCTGACAAAGTGTGACTTCTTGCTATGGGTATCGGTAGGGTACGTGTTAAGATATGATACAGACCCAAATTCCGATGTGGAAGTATGAACACAATTTGAAATCCCATTGCGTTTAAATATTGCCTCGAGTTCTCTGTCAAACAGTACAATCTCGAGACGGCATTTCACAATGATGAGAAAGCTCCTAGCGGCTTAATTTGTATGCTGCGTCAGAGTCTCTATGAACTCAAACAAACAGCAACAGTCTGGTAGTGAATTACTCTAAATGCGTTCGCAAAGCTAGATCTGTTCAGTGTGCTGCTGATACTCGCCTGGTCGTCAAGCGAACTGCTTATGATCCATTAATTTTTGTGCTGGACATTGTCGGCATGTTTATTGGTTTTCTGAGTGAGGAAGATGACAAGTACGCACACCAGGAGCTGACAACAAACTTCACTGCAGGGCCGCTTGGGAAAATTTGTTTCTGACTTCTTAAAGAAGAAGAGTATAGGAAGGAACAGAGAGGCTGTGGCTGGAAGGAAAACAGTTTATTGAGTAGATGGGTGACAATTTTAGTCAGTGTAAAGCGTATTCAGTGGCATGAAGTAATTTGAGGGATTCACTTGCAAAATTTTATCGCATGGAATGTGCATCAAGATTAATGTGCTTGGCTCTTGGTATATAGACATATTTTTACAAAGCCGATTGCAAACATTGTTTAGGAATACTGGAGTTGCTCCAGCCGCATTCAGCCCATCGTTGAAATAATTGACAAAGCCACATCAAAAGTCCTTAGCTGACAACGCCACTGAATTGTTTTTCATTTTCGCAATAAAGTATATCGTCTGCTGAAATTTGCGCTAGTACTTGTCGTATCCGTGGCCAAATTGCCAGAGCACCGATACACGCGAATGGTGTAGGACGACTACATCTAATTGGCGTTACGGAACGCAGCAGCACTGCGTGCTCCATTTTATCGAAGCTACAACATAGTTTCATAATCGGAATTACCTACTAAAAAGAAATTAATAAGGATAATAGTGTGGTGATACTTCTCACAAGGGTTGGCTCAGTGCCACGAAATTCTCCAAGTAAAACGCAAATACTGGAAAGAGTAGCGTTTGCAACGAACATTGGTAAGACAGCATCTATGTAAAATATGGCTTGGCTTTATCGCTAATGGCTTCATCTTTCATCTGTAAATTCTGACTAAGTTAATCGGATTACGCAACAGCAGCTCGCATATTATCTGACAATGCCACTGCAGATCCAAAACCGCAGTGCTTCTTTGATCCAGTGGTGACGTCGTATCCAATGCAAGTTCATCGCCCAAATTAGAATCAGCCAGATGGAGGCTATTGAGCCTCAGAACATACGATGCAGTGCTATACCACTTCGATGATATACCAAAGACAGGTTGTATCGATCGTCATAATTCAGGAGCGCATGATCAAGTTTGGCAGGGCTCTAAGTCGTGGCCGCTAAACGAAGGCAAAAGAAAAAAATTGTAGCTCACTTTTCATCCTGATATTAACAAAACAATTGAAGGTAACAATTAGATTCGTTTTGGGGGGCTGATAAATTTGTGCACATACACAGGTTGTCTTTCTTCATTATTTTAGACTGCTTTTGGGTATATGAAGACTTGTTCTTGAAATTCGAACCGGTGACTATTGTGTCACCAGGTCAGTGCTTAACGACTGCTCGAGGGGTAGCATCACAAAGCCTTGCCTAGTGATCAAGGTGTGGATGATCCACTTTCAAAAGTAAGAGTAACTTTGTCCGAAGGACAAAGTTAACACGTTTACTGGGGTGTAAAACCGGTACCTAAATTGCTTCGTCAATAAAACGTTTGCAAGCCAGATCGTGAATCATTGCGGCAATATAATTTGGCATATACGAAGAAATTAGGGCATACTTTACTTTTTCACTTCGGTTTCTAGCAACAAATCAACTAACTAACAGCCTCAAGGAATCATTTCTTCACTACAACGTCCATGCGCAGTATGTTAAACAATTAAACTGAGGTCCGCCTGTGAAGTGATAATTTCTGCCACTGTAAATTTGATAGGAGGACGACTTTGGCGGTAAAGTGTCATCCGGGACATATCATCGTCATCACGAATGCGTTTGAGCGACGCCCAGGCATTAGGTATCCTGGTCATAACGAATGCACTTGAACGATGCCCGGGCATGAATTTCATTGCGTAAGACATTGAGGTTCAGCGCGAACAAGTTACGGTCAGCCACGAGCGCCATGAAGACATTCAAGACGCTACGCTATACATATAACCGCTCGACACTACACAGTCGCGTGACAATGACGCGTCGACGTCATGACTTCAACATGAAAAAGTGGTACTAGCGTATTGGAACGGCTAAAATTTGACGAGCTAGAAGTGGACCGCCAGACAATGAGAGAGCCAATTGGCGAGTGGTGGTACTTCTAAGTAGGCTAAAGTCGACATATGATTTGATCTCATCAATTGTGAAATTAGCGAAGGACATGTTGATCAAGGAGAAGCTGCTGAAGGAATTAGAAAAGCTATACGGAAAGGAGGCAACGAAGAAGGTATTCATAATTGGGTATGCTGGAAGATTAAATGGTAGATGAGGCAGCGCTTGAACGGGTGGCGCTTTGTGAATATATGGACAAGTGCTCTGATAGTGACAAGATTGGTCAGATGCTCCGAACTGCTCGGCTTGGAGAGGAGTCAGCAACTTTGAAGCGGTGTGTATTGTATGCGAAGGACGATTGGCAGAGTGGCTTATTGTTACTGGTGCCACATCCCACATGGCACCGAATAGGAAGAGCATTTATAAATACAGGACCTTGAAATAGTTCTCAAAGTGAGAAGTGAACATGGCAAAAAATTGCTCGTCAATGAAACAGTCTCAGTGGAATTGATCGCTATCGGCTGAAATCCGATTTCCGGAACGTAGCATAAGTGTGGAGTCTCCGTTCGTCTTGTGTCATCTAGAACAAAGTTGCATCACTTTTAAGAATCGACAACGCGTACAAACTAGACTGCAAGCAGGAAATAGCGTGTTGCGCTGACTAATCAGAGCTGGTTATGCGTGAGGGCTTTGGCATGCGTACAAGCAGCTTTGAGATGAGAATGCATTCCTAAAGATATCGCGCCTAAGCAAGCCATCCCGACGGTCAAGCAAAAAAAAATCATGTGCCGGACGTTTGAAGGTACGCAGAAAGTTCTGATAATTTTCTCGCGTTGAATGGCTACAAGCTACAAAGGTACAAGAGTGAAGTTGAAACACGAAGTGGTGTTTGTCTCAAGTTCTTAAAACCCGACAACGGGATAAGAATCGTCAACAAGATGATGGTAGACATACGTCCTGCTAATTTTTATACTACAAAGCTTCGCAAAACTACAAAGCACTGGACAAGTCTCTTTAAATGGTACGCGGACAATTGACATCCAGGCTATAAAATGACGGGCAAGACTGCTCGCGTAGATATGAGATCATTACAAAATGCAGTTTACTAAGCGCCATGACCTAATTATCATCTGTACAAGTCTTTCAGTTTATACTACCTATGTTACGTGAAGTCCCTCACCCAGGTGTCATCTTGTGCTACAGTCTACAGGTGAATTTGACGCGACAGAGCATGACAGTGTTCATCATTATCATCACTATCCACTGATTGATTACGTATTATCTTAATGCTTTGAATACGAAATTCGCTGTTCGAATTCTCCCAAAAATTGTGGCACAAATATGAAAAAGTGACCTTGCTGATCAAATTGCATCGCGAAAATCTGATAATCGACAGGATTAGTGAAGAAAGTCAATCTTCAAAAAAAATTTCTCCACACTATCGCGGAAGTAGTGGTGCCAAATACATACGTGCTTTGTCCGAGTATGGCACCGGCGTACTTGTGTGCTATCCACGTGCTTGTTATACCCATCCTACGCGTCCCAAAAACTTTTTGAGGGTAAAGTTGAGAGCCATGTACACAGCCTCCGTCGGGCTGAGTGCAACAAATCTTTGGCGCGTTTACTTGAACTTTACTGGTGCGCCTGCATCCACAATCATAACTCTAGAGAAAACTTTTGTCATCGGTACTGCTACCAAACAACTTCTTAATATGGCTTAAGTACAATAACACCACTGCGCTGGTAGACGGTACCGATTCGGACTAGCACGCAAATAGCTGCATCCCATTTTAGCAGTCTGGGATCTATCAGGAAACATGACAGCTGTGTTATCAAGTATGCAACATCCGGTCGATTACATGTCATAATATACAGCAGACATACATTCAGAATCGATAGGGCTTCAAGCGCATCACCAAAGGAGTCTCCTCTGTTGTAAGTGATTGCGTTGTCGACAACTTCAATCCTGATGCGCATAGATTGCTAGCACTTTTGGCATCTTGTTGACCGAACATTCTCGCTACGTCGTTGATGAAGCAAGTCTGTGTAATCATGGGCGTTTTGGCTGACCTGATCTCCATGCCACAAAACAAAGACCGCCTTGCCCAGCTTCTTCATTGTAAACATATTTCTTAGCACTGCGTTCGCCTGGTTGATCACTTCCTTTTTTGCGACAGTCATCGCCAGCCTTCTCGCAGCCCTTGAATCAATATTTCACAATGACACAATAGTTTTTGTTTCAAGCACTTACTGCTTGTCTCTACTCCTAGTATCTTTCTGCTGACAGCCGTATCGCTGAGCATTGTCACCGCCTAGCCGGACTTCCATATGACTTATGTCTATCAGCACAGTGTTGAGAAAAGCTGTAACGACATCCAGCTGTACAGTGTAAATCGCATTCGGCACAGATAGCAACTTTTATCGAGATTTATATCACGATAGCGACCGGAAACTCAGTCTCAAAGAAATAGATTCCATACTTGTGCTTCAAATCTTCGCGATCAGTCGTGCCTTGTACCGCGCGACAGTACCAGCTTTAGCTGATCTTGAGTAATTGATCCAGGAGGGTTTTTGGAAAGATATACAAGACGTCGAAATTTGATCACTCTTTCTGACAATAAACCATTGTGGTCTTTTTGTGCGATTATGTCATCTTGGCGTGGATATCCATGCTTGTTTTGCTCATGGGAGCAAAGATGAGCTTTCATTGGTCGGCGCTTGACGTTGCTTAAGTATATGTAGTCGGCGAGGCCGTATCTTTCTCATGTCTCACCATGTACAGAGGTAGAGCATCAGCAATATGTCATTCTTCGTCAACCCTTGCACATGTCGATATCAGTGCACCAGCACTCTCTTCTGTTGCTGCATCATCATCAGAGCCGCTCGCTAGAATAGGCTCATGACCTCGTCTTGTTGCTCCAATTGAGGCTGAAACACCAAACGATCTTTCTGCTGCGCACGAAGAGATGGACGATACGCTGTTAGCTCCACCCTGTCCTAAAACGAGTGCTTGAAAGGCATTGGCTTCTGTAGACCGACGATTGATATTCGCGCAACATCGATCATTTCGACGTCTTCAACTTGTTTTTGTTTCCATGGGTTTATCCAGAACTGGTTGTTGAAGCACTCGGTGATAAATATTGTCATTTCTCAACTATGGTTGATTCTGGCTGCATCCTAGCGTGCTGTATATGTCGCCCGTTACTCGTTTATCTAGCCTCACAGAGCGGGTCACTTTGAACTTGGCACTATCCAAGTCAAACACGCGATATCCCTCGACAAACTGCGCACAGCCAAGAAACATGTATATGTAGCTTCTGAATTAAAGTTCAATCATCTATCAACGCCAACATATGCAAAACCTTGCGATCCGAACACGCGTTAGTGGTCCAACCCATACGGCGTGTATCGGGCCTGTCTTCGTCGAGCGATGAACCAAATAAACTGCTGTGTCGATTGTTTCCGCCCACCATTTTTCATGATAGTCCTGTCCATGCATATCTTCACCCCATTCTGACGAGAGCTATTATGATGCCGCTCTGGCAACAGACAATTTTTTGCCTGTATCATCACCAAATAATTTCTCTTCATCAGCGATCTCAAATTCTTGGAAGTTGAGGGGCGAGATAACAACCAAATCCACACATAGAATATCGGGTGGACAAATGTTTCAAGGTGAATTTGCGCTTGTGATGTGGCGTCTGCTGCATGTCAAGTTGTTTCGGAGACCACCTATTCGTATAGATATTGAGGCTGATCGATGCGCTGATTGACACTTTACGCGAGGTAATGTTGCGATTCTTTCTCGCAACCAAGTCTTTGTGCAAAGTGTGTGCAACGAGTTGTAGATAGTAGGCGATCACGAAGTACCTCGCTTTCGAGACGCAATGAGCAAATGCAAGAATTTATCCTAGCCATATAGAGAAAATGTAGAATATGCACTGTCGCACACTGAAATATCGAAATAGAGTCTATTTAAGCGCAGAGCGTCTGTCGACCTAAAGTCAGAATAACTCAGTCAAATATCAATTTAATCATATCTCATTCAGCATCGGTTTTCCTGTCAATTTTCGGACTCTAAGCGTTAAGACAAATACTCGTGTTGCCTCGTATTTGTATTATTAGAATCAGTTTATCAATGTGGTAATAAATCTGACTCTTCGTTCAAGCTGAACAATGTCAGACTGACACACTACGATGGACTTCAAACTTCACACTTCAGTGTGCTCATTCCAATCCCTCTAACTTGTCGAGGTCAAGTGCCATTTACTTTAAGTATACTCTAATCCTTTTCTCGAATAAAATGCGTTGTTAAGCAGCAGTAACAGAAAGTGTATATGAAAATGACTGAGCAAAATCACAGTTGCGGGAAAGCTTTGCAGTGCAGGCGTCAGTGCGTGATTCAAGGTAGTACCAGTTACATTATATTCATAAACTTCATCTGGAGAGTGTGATCGGCATCTATGATCTCGTTACATACAGCTCAAAACATGTTAAATGTATCATGCCGGTAGAATCTTGGTCTCTTCGTATCCTATAGAACCATATATTTGTGTCAGCATTGAGACCATAAACTCCATGACACGCATGTCTTCCTGCTGCTTCATGATGAAGACAAAAAAAATGGTAACTCCTCCAGCAATTTAGTCATGAAATTGATGCTAACAACCGTGAAATCGCTAATTTGAGATTTTGGCCTTAAAGGGCCGAAGCAAGAAAATTTGACCCCCTAGACGAGAAATGTTGAGCCCAATGTTTCGGCCATGCTTTAGATGGCGTTCAACGCGTCGCACTCGGAGTTTAAAGGTCGTGCGCGGAAATTTACACTTTCGTGCATCACGAGGCGCTCACAAACGGCAAAACTGGAACGACAGATGTGGTGGGTATTATAATCTCTTTTTGTGTATATAGAGTATATTTATGATTCTTGACCAACCACCAAAAGAGTAGAAACACTGGCGACCTTTGTTCAGTTGAGCTCTTATAGCAAAGACGACGTCAGACCCACTTTCAGAGGCGGCAATGGTCACGACTTTTTGACCGGGTGTGGCTTCCCCGTTTTCTTTCATAAAGGCAAGGTAGCGAAGCTAGATTGCAAAGGGTAACCTCCGTGCCGCGGGGCCTTCTAGTAGTATTGAAATGACTACTCTATGAGCTTGCCACAGACAATGGGCATCAGTCATGCTAAGCAGACGAGAGATCTATCGGCTGCTGAGCATCTTCACGGTACTAGTAGATGTCTCATGTCTGTGAGGTATAATGTTTGCAGCTTACTTGCTCCCTTTGCCCCCAAGTGTGAGGTACGAAGGGCCAAACATGGCCGACAAACCCCTCGTGAAGGTTCGAAGAGTCTCAGTAAGCGCTAGGTCGCCGACTAAGAAATAACTGGGCTCTATTGTATCTCGTAAAAATTCCTCGAATAAGCAAATTCCTCTTGGAGAAGAAGGCCCACAGCTCAGGATTGCTGTTTGTCAATATCAACGTGCCGTTTTTTGTGAAGTCGAGGTATCATGAAATATGGTACGATATCCGCGCGTCTTGCGAGGGGGGTACTAATAAAAGTGCTCAATATCGTGCTGAACCGTCAGTCAAACATAACGACTTTGACAACGTGGAACGTTGTCTAGTTCGAGACCTATTTTTTCGACACATATTCATTCTGGATATGGCTTGACTGGAAAGCCACGAACCATGGGTTAGCTGAAGGCGAAAGATGTGCCACGCACTTTTCTCCTGGTGGAGCTTCACAACCCAGAATATCACCTTTGTCAGGAAGCAAAAAGCTCTAGACGCGGGCACGAGGTAGTCATAGCTTCCGTGAAAAACATGTAATAGTCCGAACTTGATAATAATAGGCTTGTAAAATGCCTCGAGCAAACTTTGAAGGCAAAAGCGGCAGTGAGATGCAGTCTCTGGATGAGAGAGCAGAGAGCGATCATATATCACGTTCTTCATAGTATGCCTCAGTCAAGACAGATATGACAACTGTATCCCGTGGTCTAAAGAGTACATTTCTGTCGGGACGGTAAGAAACTGCTGTGAGCTGGTGTGACCATGGCCAGGTCGGTAGCAAGTGAAAGCGACAATCAGTCACGAGTAGAATTCTGACATAAAGGAAAACAACTCATTCTCGTCACGATGTGACAGAACCACCTCGCGAAGTAGTATGCTCCTTAAGTAGGTGACGAAATAGATTATGTACTTTTGAATGGAGTGACTGGGGCACTTTAAGGGTTGTAAGATCCCCTCACTACCTCCGACAGAAGCTCTCTTAGAGTGAATGGTTAGGTTACTCACAGAATACTGTCTGGGAGCAGTCTACTTTCTATACTTTGTTAAAGGTATAGCACGACGTGGTGTTGAGGAGCCTGGCACGCGTGTGAAAGGAGTCCGTCGTATAATTGACGTGGCTTTCGTAACCAAATATTGCGCTCCATGGTTATTGCCTTTACAAAGGGAACATTGTGACAACATCGATCCGTGCGAAGTATGGAGCGACTTTGGTGAGAGTCGACTTCCACACTAGTTGCCGACGTTCTGTGTAAAAAATCTTATCGACGAGTGGCAATTCAAGCACCGTTAAAGTGAGCTTAGTTAGGCCACAACTTCGTAGCAAGCGCCAATTGCAAGAAAAATGGGCTACACAATAGCATGGTCAATTTCAGTTTGTTTGATGCCCCTGACCTTGGTTGCAGGATGTTAACAGCCTCTGCTGAGAGACAAAGATCAACTCTCGTTGTTGAAAGGCCCCAAGCAGGATGCTCTCGGGAGGTGGCTGGTTATGCTACAGAAGCAGCTTAATACAATATCGACGGTTGAATATCTGGTGACGCAGCTGTCCCGGCAACATTGTGGCTACGCACAAACCTACTTCAACATTTGTTCGTCCATAGTCGTGCGGAGCATGGGATGTCGGATAACGGGAATCACACTAAAGAATTGCGAGCAGTGCTCGTGCGTACGTCCTTAAGCTATTTCACACTTGTGTGTTAGGCGCCGTTTCATTGAGAAGCATGACCTGCGGGTAGATATCGCAATGATAAAATCGATTCTAGATTGATCTATGTCTCTGTTTAAGATGATTTTGAGAGTTTGGCTTGCCACCATCTCAAGAACAGTGCAAACCATGCCGAGATGGCACGAACCCTCGACAATCTCATCTAAAGAATCTAAACGATATTGAGGTGTGGCACAAAAGGCGGCAGTTAATGCTATAAATAATAGCCTCATGACAGGTGGGTTTTTTTCGAGTTAGCGATCTACAAAGTTTACGCTTCTCAGAACTGCCTGATACCCCACTCTCGGCCCTTTCAAATTTAGGCCATAATACATCGTATTTGACACTCGAACACTTGATTTTGACATGCGGCTTGTAAATATTCGGGCGCGGAAGTATCCAATGTAGAAGCTAACGGTATTCTTTGCGCTTCATATTAATATTTTCAAGTATCGGAAAAGATGCGGGTATTTGACGCGAAGTGAGCCTATAACAGTAAAGTGCGAGTCGTAATAATGGTGAAATGTCGACTTAAATCAAAAAAGCATCGTTGTGTATACATCAAACACATAACGAATCATCAAAGATGTTAACCTGTTTAAGAAAAATACTTAAGCGGAGTCTCGCAGTTGGTAAATTGCGCAATCTGCTTCTACCTTTCGTTATTCGAAAAATATGTGCGATTGAAAGGGTGATGCCACACTCGGTATGGTTTATAGTCACTTTGCAGCTCATTAAAAAAATAATAGACATCTCCATTTATGAGTTTGAAATCTTTATGCGCATCGATAAGCTGCAGAGATCGGTGCTAGCAGCGATTCTCTGCTGCTTCACGTCGAGACATCATGAAGCTTTATCCGCGTTTCTCACTTTTATGTAGAAATTGCTGGTATATCGACTGAGAATGAGCTTGACTTTTTTCTTTATCGGATCCAATTGAACTGGAAAGTGAAGTCGACCCCTAAGGTACATTTTGCAATATTTAGTCACACACCACCCACGCAAATAAGGAAAGGAAAGTGACATACCGTGATGAGCGAGCTCGTACGATAGTAGAAGAACTAGCGAAATATATAACATTGATTGGACTTGATTCACTTGCGTTTCAAATACGAAAGCGACCTGGTACAAAGGCGAGACCTTAAACTTGCGATGTATAAAATGATAAAAAAAGAGAAATGACCCAATTTCCATTAGAGCGAACAGCACGATGTTGGATATAGCAAAGGTACCCCAATTGCCAGGACCACCAGGATAGTAAACGATATTTGGAAGCAGCTCGAGCGATGACTTGTACACGGCATATACAGTGGGGACGACACATTCAATGTATTCCACTAGTGCCAAATATTCACAATGAAATAACAATTGGAGTCCTTGAAGCACAAGCTGTTCCGATCGTATTCCCTTTGTTGTTTTTGAATCAGAGACGCCAGAGCAATGAGCAGCTTTTTGTGCAGATTGTTTCGTTGCAACACTCTCGAAGTTTGGTTCAATCGGCTGAATCGATGTTTTACGAAAAGAACGAGACATGAGATTGCGCTGTCGAGCCAATCGTGTGTTGTTCGTGACATTTTGACGATATGACCCTGATGCTGCCAGAACTTGAAGTTGGATAGCCCGGTCTTCTGGAAGAGGATGTGGAAGACATGCATGCAATCGCACACCGCGCATTGAGACTACATTGCTTGCACGAGGATCTCGCGACACTGCAAGAATCATTGCAAGCAAATCTGGCGTCTCAGTCGATAATGCAGGCTGCAAATAACCTTGGGACAAACGTTGTTGATTGAGTAGTTGAACTACAGCAAATGCGTTGGCTCGTAATTCGCGGAATTCCAATAATGTTAGTCCCAAATCGGCTACAATAAATGATGCAGACAGGAGCAAAGATCCGGCACTTGACATGCAAACAGACATGAAAAGTGTGCTGTATAGATCCACCGTAAAACTCAAAATTTGCGGCATTAGGTCTTCCAATTCACGTGTGGCACTCAATACGAAATATTTGGCCCCAAATTTCCATATTGGTAGCATAATAACTGTAAATTTACGATACGGTGGAGAGGTTGAATCGTAAAGCGCTTTATAGTAAGGGTATAAGATAGCAAGAGCAAAGTATGCGTACTGGAATCGCTGATAGCGTAAAAGGTACGGCCGGCAAACAGACTTCTTCGTGAATGGTGACTTACCCAACACAAGCATAAAAACCAGCGGAATGTAGATCGCAAGAATCGCATTTCCAACTTGTTCAATAAATGGAAGAGGGAACCCAATCTTACTAGAAGCTATCAGCATGGTAGTAATGTACATCACGGTAAGTAGAAAAGCCATGGTAAGAACCTTGATAAGCGAAACATTCAAGACCGGAATAAATGTCGTAAAACTGAGATTGCTTACTATTGACATCATGAACAGTGCTATTGTCAGACGAATCCAAAACATCCAATTGGCTTTCCATCCTTCAGAAGGGTGGCGGAGCGGTAGGCACTCCAACAAGACTGCTACCGCTAGAGTAGGTATCGGAGTTAGCAAGCACACTAGAAATACACGAAGGCGAGAGGTAGTTTCGCAGTATGCATGAAAGCTTTCAAGACGTTCGACCGAATAAGAACCTTGACGACCCACTTGAATGTCGTTCCATTTCTTTTCGAGACGACTCCACATCAACATCTTTTAACTGTCTCACTTTAATCGACAGGTGCAGGGTTTCTTTTCTATTTTAAAGCTAACCCATGAAGAAGGTGGTGCAAATTCGGATAATGCCGCTTCGAGCAATTTGGCTCGTAGAATCAGTGATTAGGAACTTTTGGCAGCCATTGAAGTGAATACATTCGAGACTGAACTTTAAAAGATTCAAGTCACCCGATGTTCGTCGTATATGCACAATTTTACTCAAAAAATGGCATGAATTCTCACTACAAATGAAATGTCGACGCTTGGTCCAGCACTTTTTTCGCGATCGCAAACTTTGACAGAATCCAGAATATCTGCAATTCTATACACCTGAGAAGTTTTTCTGAGGCTGATTAAAACGCCGAGCGAACGGGAGACAACTCATGATTGTCAGCAGTATGACATTCCCAGTCTCGATTGCCGATGACTAAATTTTGAGATGAAATTTTACCAGCCGAGCCACGTTGTCCTCCAAACTCGCACCCTAGGTCTGGGTTGTTTAACATAAATTGTCGTCAGTCTAAAAAGCGTTACTAGAAGTAACATAGAAGTCCCACCACCTTCGTATTTCTATGTTCGATGAAGTTATCCAATAATGTTTTAATTTAATTGCTTACATATCGATGGTGTCAGATATCCGCAAACGTCGCTTTATTGAGTTAATGAGCTTCGTAAGACAAAAAAGCGAGACGTGCGGAGAAAGTCGACCATTCTTTGCTTTTATCGTTCGCAGATTGCTTCTTGCAACATCAAAAATTTCATTTACTAGACAATCAATGCTCGATCTGCATTTCCACAAAGTCAATAAGGAACTCTGAGTGATCTTAAACATTCATTCGCGAATCAAATGCCTGCTGTTCAATACTTTTCCAATTGAATGCAGCAATGGAATTCATTTTGTCATGTACTTCCGCTGTTTGTGCTGCATAACGACAATTTAGTGATCACATTATAACGTCAACTTCAAAGACCATAGAATTGTGTCAGCCTGACAACAAAGAACCTAAATCAACAGTCAGCATTACGTCACAGATTGAATGCTGCTGAATTCAGCACACGACGAATTAGGTGTCTCTTGGGCAAGGAAAACCACCGCTACTTCAGATAGTTCATCAAGTCGATCGAAAAGAACCGAATGCTGGCATGCAGAGGCGCAAGAAATATAAGTGTAACATTGCCTTTCGTTGCCTTGACGCTCGGAAAGTGTTGAAGAATTTAGCTACTTTGAACGAGACGAATTTTGAACCAGCATTAGATAGAACTTTTCAGAATTTCTGGTCGTGTAAATGAAGCCCCTATTACTGTATCTAAACTGCGAGAGCACATATCTTCACTTTTTAGCAAGAACTTGATTCTTGTATTCGCTCATTGTGCCTCGAAAGCGAGTCACTTGTTGATCACCCACTACCCACAATTCTTCGCACACACTTTGCACAAAGTGTTGGTCGTGAGAAACAATCACAACACCGCCTTTGTACTCGCGTAGAGCGTCAATCAGTGCATCGATAGTCTCCATATCCAAGTGATTAGTCGGCTCATCAAGCACCACAACGTGTGGCAGACGCCACGTCATAAGCGCAAAGCCGACACGGGATTTTTGACCACCTGACAATGTACGTGTGGGTTTGATTGCTAGCTCACCCGAAAGATTAAACCGACCAAGGTGAGAGCGAAATTCATCGGCTTCATGACCAGGAAACATCTCTTTCATGTTTTGCACTGCTGACTTGGACAAATCAAGCGAATCAACGTGGTGCTGTGTGAACGTGGCCACACGCAGACGCGGGTTCATCGTCACGGAGCCTTCGGTGGCACGAAGTTTGCCGATCATAATGTTGATAAGTGTCGACTTACCAGAACCATTCACACCGAGAATGCCAATACGACTCGTCATATCTACACCCATGTGCACATCCTTGAATAATAACTGAGACTCCGGTGAATATCGGAAACCTACGCCTTCGATAGCAATGATAGGTCGACCAAGCGGCTCCGGTGGCGGGAAACTCATCCGGAAAGCATGCTCGTCTTCTGGCTCATCAATGAGCTCATTGCGTAAAATCTTTTCCAATGCCTTAACACGTGATTGAACGAGCGGTGCCTTCTTCGCGTTGGCACGGAAACGCTCAATAAATTCCTGCATGTGCTGGATTTTCATCTGCTGTGCATCATAAGCCTTGCGTTGTTGACGCACATTTTGCTTTACCGTGTGCTCGAAAGTGTTGTAATCGCCTTTGTAGTACGCTAGCTTTTGATTTGACAAGTAGATGATATCGGTGGTCACAGCATTTAAAAAGTTTCGGTCGTGAGATACCACAATCATCTGCTTTTCGTACTTTTCCAGATAATGCTCCAGCCATATAACAGCTTCAAGATCCAAGTGGTTCGTCGGCTCATCAAGAAGTAGCAGGTCTGGTGCCATGAACAGTGCACCAGCTAGTGCCGTACGCATTCGCCAACCACCTGAAAGCGCCTTGGCCGGTCCATCCACGACGTGATCGGGGAACTGAAGGCCATTTAAAATAGTACGCGCGCGTGATTCAGCCGTATCCGAGTCAATGTTTTGGAGTCTGTCGTAAATTGCTTTAAGAAGCATGCTGTTGTCAACACCCTGCGTGCTTTCTTCAGCTATTAAATCTTTTTCTTTCTGTAATAACATACTTCGCTCGTAGTCTGCAGCAAGTACAACCTCCAAAACACTGCGGTCATCCTTGCTAAGCTTGGAAGCTGATTCCTGCTCTACTAATTGGATACGAATATGCCGAGGAAATCCCTCGAGTTCATAGTGCGAGATATATCTTAGCAAAGTCGTCTTGCCGGCTCCATTCTTGCCCACAAGTCCGTATCGGCGACCAGACACAATTTTTAGCACCGTGTCAGATAACAGCGTCTTTCCTTTAAAGTGGATCGTCAGTCTTGGCACGTGTATATCGCGCTCCCCATTGTCCTGCGAGAGATCGGGCAGGAACCGCGCATCTTCCCACTCGCGGTCAAGTTCGGCTTGCTCATCGTCGTGCTCAGCTGTAAGCTGCTCCAATTTGATCTGTTTTCGCACTTGACGAGCTGAAAGTGCAGATTGCTGCGCTTCTAGCTCATCATTTGTGGTCTTACGAATCTTATCAAAGCCCCACATGCGGGCCATCAGCTGCTCTGCATCGGCCGCGCCCTCGTCCAGACGTGCCTGTTCCTCGATGCTCTGCGTGTTCTCCAATGCGCGAACCTCATCCTGATGCACTCTATTCTCTTTGAAACTCGGACTTGCTAGCAACTTTACGGCCAATGAAGCACAAATTTTGGTAGCAGCCGCCGTGTCGTCACAAAATCCGGTGCTAATCAAGAATGGGGTCACGCTATCATTTAAAAGCTCTTCCAAAGCTACGCTCTCGGAGGGAAACGTGTCCGCTAGTTTTTCAGCTAAGGCACCGCTAATGTACGCGAAAATGTCTTCATCCAGTCCGCGAAGGGTTGTCGAGAGGACCTGTGTCACAGCTTGCTCCATCGTCCACCTCAAATGTATCAATAAATTCGCCGAACTTTGCTTGAATATACAATCATTTCAGTACACACAGTGAATGTAATTATGGACCATCAAATATTTTTCAAAATCTATATTTTCTCTCGCCAATATCATGTAATACTGTAATCACTGAAACGATTCGTTGAACGCAGAACGCTCAACGCTAAAGTGCAACGCGCCGGATTGTATTTGACTCTTTTGTACCAATGTTTAGGGGTCGAGTACACTTTAAGTTAAAAAGGTTTCTTTGTGCAAGATGCACGGCATTTCTTTTGCATTTCGTAGCACCTACCGTCAATCGCACTCGATTCGAACTACACAAGGGTCCACCTTGCAATATTGACCACTTCGCGAGCGACCACGACGTCTAAAATACCAGTTTCTAATCGTGCCTGCTCTTCGGAACATACTTGCACAGGGAGTTTCATCTCATGCATCAAGAAAGTTCAATGGCCTAACAAGCACCTAAATAAGTAATTCCGGGATTGACGCGCTAGAAGAAAACATCCGGGAGGGATCCGAGGTATGCTCCAATTAATGCGAGCGTTGTAACTCTTCGAGTCCTGATCATGAACCTCTGCCATCACACAGTGATACACGGCCTGATCATTCCCCTAGGTGGATGTGCTCACTGCGGTCGGCCTTCTTGCTGCACGAGTCTCGAATTCCACACACCTTTCATCGGCGAAAATTGTTGCGATACTTTGCCGTGGAGCTCATATTCGCAACATAGCAGCCTCAACAGTCACGCTGACTCTTGCCCAAATCACCACAGCATGATCATGGTTACCAACCGTCTGAAGTCGCTCCGCGCGTTGGTACTGCACCCTTATACGCCAATGCGTGCTGTACACCACGATCGAAACGAGCGAGTCGTCGCAATTGAGTGCTCTCTTGACCCATAAATTATCACTTTAAAGTTAAACCGTTTGTGTTGAGAGCAGCAGTGGTTGCGGAGACCCGAAGTCTCCATGAGGGGTGTGCATTTAATAGTAGAAGCGGCGAAAGTGCCATCTACCGCAAGGTCGGTTGCGAACCACTAGTGGTAAGCACAATGCAATGGGTGACTCTGCCTCTTTCTAAGAAAGGTGAAGGCCAACGGCACGCGTGGTCATAATCGACAACGGTGCGCGGGCAATCTTGCTGAGTTATACTTCAAGTTTCCAAAATGCTTTGTAAGGGCGCCCCTCTCACTTGGCCAGAAGCAAACACCATTTCTGGTCCGCTTGCCGGCCTAATAACCTTCTGGTCTCCTCCCTTGTACATTAAGCCGTGCCGGTGGAGGTCGATCTCCCGCAACTGGCTCTAGCAAGCTCTCTTGATTGCGGCTGTGCGTTGAATCTCTCCGAGAGTCTTGGTGTGCGCAGTGCTATGGCAAAGATCAAGGTGCGAATCGAGGATTTGGATCATCCAAAGTTGGTCTAGGATGATCCAAATCCCCAATAAATCCCGATTCGCACCTTGGTCTTTGCCATCGCACTGTCTAATAAATTGATTCGGAGCCGCTCGCTGCTTTAAACTAATTAGGATAGATCAAATACAGGGAATGTGGGGATGCTGCGCTGTGTTCAGATTGACTTATATCAGCGTAATCATGTTATGACTTCAGTATGTCCGCGTAAAACACAAGATGTGTCCGTAATCGTTTTAAAATGCTTTGAGTACATCTTCTCTCTTCATCGCTATGCCCGTGGACGATCTGATGCAATGGGGTCACTACTAAGTCTTATAGACTGCAGACGCTGGAAGTATAGATATGCTCATTGCATTGGAAAAACTCTCGCCACACATCATACTTGCGTGTGTTTTCCCTTCCTTTGATGCTTTTATTTGACTTGACTCTCGGTCATTGAGTTGCGCAACCTGTGCATGACGCAAATTATCATTAAAATGAACTGATTATGAAGTGGGGCTGGTCTGATGTCAGCAAGTCAAATTTGATCGACATCTCTTACACTAATACCAAATCCACTTAGTGGAGATGTTAAAGGCACCCAGGGAGTAAGTTGCTTAAACACCGCGGTCTCTCCATGCAAATGTTTCGATTGATGACTTTTTCAACGGAGGACACGCGCTTCGTCTGACCATCCGTTTGTGGATGGTCAGCGGCTGCCTTACTTCGCTGTAACGCACGGATCTTCCCTCGATAAAACTGACTGCCCGTAATTTATGTTAAGTAAATACTCTGTCAGATTACCCTCAACTTGATGGGGGTATAATTCGTTGCGAGCGGCTCCTTGTCATGAATAGCCTATCGCTTTTCAGCAGTCTCAAGCTGGTCCGTCGGTATCTTCTTTGATCAAATCGCAGCCTGTTACAAAGGGTGAAGCGCCACAGACGATGTGAAATGTCCGCTCTGGATTCGAAAGAACCAGATTTGGAGCATGAATGAGGCTTTTTTCACAGTCTTTATATTCCTGCACTTCATCACCTTTGCCGTCTATTTGTAGGAGATGGATCGTGCCGTGTCGGCATATTTTACACTGTATTTGTGAAAGAAACTGATCAGAACATACCACTTTATAGTCCTTTTGGAGCCATGCACAAGCCAATCTGTAATGGCCGTTATTGATGTACAATCTGCTCGCAGGCCTTGCTTCTGGATAAAGCAACTCAGGAAGGGAATTTGTCGGCGCCAAAAACACACTCGTCAATATTGGCGAAAAATCAAGCGCACAAGGTTTTAATGTTGTTGTTTATTTTTACCTTTCCGTGTTCAGCACGGCAATGGACAAATGTCTTTCAAAATAGGCTTACACACAGACACTATATTACCAGAACAGCTGCGTCGCCAGTAGATTGATCAAAGTCGAGATAGCATCACCGGTCACTTTAAAGCATCGCGCACGAAGAACTTGCCTCAGTAAAAGGATGCTGCTCTATCTTATGAGCTGTTGGGAATGTCCAATAACATGGCCGAAGGCAATGAACAAAGTGGATCCGGCCATGTTGTTCTGATGCGCATTTTTTATAAGATTAATATTTGCACAGGAATTGTATCTACATTTAGCTATTTCTTAAACATGTGCAATTCACCACCTTTCGTTAAAATATTTGACAAAAATTCTACTCCGAATATGAAGACTAATTTTTTTACCAAATCCGCTTTGTGCTGTGCTCAGAAGAAAGTGTCAATGGAATTGAGCTGTACCCTTAACAAGAGCAACATTTGTCGACACAGTATTTGTTCCGGAGGTCAAGTCGATCTACAGACGCCCTCTGCTTCCGGAGATGAATCGCATGGTGAATCTCTCGTCACCACGCCGAGGTATACTCCAACAAAGTATTGGAGGAATCCGTAAATCCCCGATGATAGCTGCTCAGCGCTTCTGACTCGCTCTGAGAGTATTTCTGTAAATCAAGTTATGTAACAACGAAGGCAGATTTTGCTCCTCGTCCGTTGCCAACTGTACTATTGTTAAGACTCGCCGTCTTTCAACTCCTTGCGAATATTCTATCATAGTATCTGTCGGAGGTAGTGAGGGAACCATAGGAATACTCCGGCCATTCAAGTCACGAGTGTACAAGTTTTCTCGCCACATACCCGTGAGGCTCAACTCTGTCACACTGTGGACCCATCATATCGCGTCGAGAATGAGCCAAACTTCTTAATTACATAGAGTAACCCTTCTACTCGTGAGTTACAGTTCCTTTTAAACTCGACCGGCTCTAGAACGGGAAATTATGACCTCAGTCGCTTTCACTCACCATGGGTTCTAAGTCGGTTTTCCACTGTCCCAACCGAGATTCAATGCAGATACCAAGGTAAACTTTTGTCATTTCCCGTCTTAATATAGGTTCACATGGGAGCCCGCAAACTTTTATCCCATCCCGAGACAAATGACGCTTTTAGCTCAGGAGCTCTGTTCGAGGCACTTTACAGTTCTATTGCATCAAATTCGGCCAGATTCATGACCTGCATGGAAGCTATACCGCCCGTGCCCACGCCATAGAAGACTTCTGCTTCCTGGCAGAAAAGGTTTATGGCGTGTCAGAGGTCCGCTAGAAGAGACCTAATTTTGTAGCCTTTATGTCGACCCATGGTTTGTAGCTTCCATTCCAACCATATTTAGGATGGGTTTGTATCTCAATTTCAGGTCTTGAACCAAAAAGCGTTCCACACTGTCAAAGTCTACACTTCTTATTGACCGTCCAGCATAGTCTTTAGCGCCTTTGCCAGTGTCCTCGTGCGGATATTATATTCGTATTCGGCACGCAAATAGTCCGCATACTGTCGACTGTTTTCGTCAGTCGCGCGTTGCTAGTAATTTGGCCAGGACTTTTTAGCCTTTATAAAGCCCGGGACGTTGGTGTTGACAAACATCAACCCTTGGCTGTGAGTCCCATCTCTCTGATAGAGTTGCTCATTTAGAGCTGATTCCGACTGGTAACGACCTCCTCAATGAACAAAGAACTTCGCTCATTCCCAGTCTCTCTTGCGCGAGAGCCCAATCCTCTGTACCACCTAGCCGTGATACAAAAAAGCATCAAAGGCGCAGATGTTTCATACTACCGCAGTTGACACACCTGAGAGTATAGCAGAGTAACTTAGCAGCTGATGTAACTCTCTTCTACCTCAGCAAGACTGAGAACTATCGCTTTTGGTGTGCACATACATGCTTGTGCGTGCGCGCTTTACGTTGCACCTTCCATTCTTGGGCGTTTGTGGAACGGTGATACTAAATACAGCGGCAGCTTGTTGTTCAAGAATGTGCTTCTTACGCTTGTGCAGACGCTGTTGATTGGCATTGGTCTTGTGACGCTGAAAGTCGCACAATTTGTGAATCGTTCCATTCAATTTGATTGCACGAGGTACTTCAATTTCCACTAACTCATCCGTATTTCACGGCACGGTCATTGAATGAGACAACACACCGTGCTTCATTTAAAAAGTAGGGTAGACGCAAGGAAAACTCGCACAGCAAAGGCTATGCGGAAAGACCGGTCGTAAGATGGCATCCATAATCGCCTTCGATAGAAAGGCCAGCCACCATTGTTACGATATAAGCTATTATTTACCGCCAGTTCTCTATGATGAGGTACGTTTGAACCAGAATTTTGAACACACCCGATATCCTTGATTCGGTGGTGCGAATATCCGCGACATTTGTAGAGTTACCACTTCTCACGTCGGAGATACCTCTTGTACTAAGGCGCACATACAGTCCGTTTTCATCCGTGTTTTCCTAGGTTTAAACCGCTAGCGTGACGCAAAGATACGCCTGAAAGTGCTTTTGTTTGCAAAAATTGAAACAAAAATTTATAAGCGTAATTGGGCAAACTAAAGCCCAAGTGCATCTGAGATGTGGCGGAAGAGAAAGCGCTCGAAGCCGTTAAGGCATTCTTAATTCGTATTAATCCATCTTTAGCATGGATGAGATTATGTTTATATCAACGTTCCTGTTCAGAGAAGCAAATACCCCTCTCTCCTCTTTTCACAAAAGCTAGGACGAACTGCATAAAGAGCCTTATGGTTAGAAGCAGCTGTGCTTTTAGTGAAGCCTGATTGAGGCGTTCCTGACGGCGCCACATTAGTGCATTCTCATAGCTGGTGAGCGGCTGCAGGTAAGTGATTGCTGCTTCCGGCGCTAGGGCAATCGAATACGTTATCCTCTCTTGCAATCATAAAAATAAGATCAATAAGCGTACCCAGTTGTCCCGAGGAAAAATAGTCGAGTAGATTGAGTTCCATCGTCACAAATGATTCAGTTTAACAAGATTCACTCTTCGAGTCACCTTCTGGTGTTATCAAGTGTAACGGAATTGCCGTGCGCATTGCGCAATAAAAGCGTCTGATTAACAAGGCCTAGTTGAAAATCGCAGAGACGATAGTTTTTACCCCTCTGGAAGCAAAATCGAAATATTTAAAATAAAGAAATACTAAGTAAGCTCATCAATATCAAGCGCAATATATATACAATTGAATCAGGTCTCTTTTACCATGTGCAATTGTGAGACTACGTGTCAATTCTACAAGATTCTCATTGAAACATCTGACAGCTTAATTAGTGCTCTGATCCTAATACTATATCGGTTTTTGGCATTTGCAATGCCTCCTCATAATGTGCACAGTCGTTAGATGCTAGATGTCATAGCATCTAAGTCTATCCGAGCGTCATATGGTTTCACCAATCTCGTAGCGTTAATGTTGGAGCCAAATATTTTGGAACGTGAGCCCGAACTCTCTTAGACGGAGTTGCTAGATTAAAGAATAGGTACAACTGATATCAGCCCGTACGACGTAAAATAAAACCAGTTTCTTCATAATTGGGAGCCAACAATCCCCCGCAAGCGGTTGATAGGACAACACTGCACTGGGGCCAGACCCTTCATAACTCAATCAGAGGAAAAGTGGGAAGATTGGGGCAGATGTTTGGCACTACATCAATTTTAGCATCTGCGGGAAATTTGTGCCGCTCAGAAGCCTGGATGTGCTCTTCTTACCCAGTAGAGCTAGAATCCATCGTCCCTGGCGCGCTCTTAGAGCTAACGCGTCCCCTGCCCTATACGACTCTCGCGACGCGGATATTGAACTCTGCATTTATTGTGGCACCCATCGTGTCTTCGAAAGAGGTAAATCAATAACAAGAATGTCTCAGCGCGAATAATAAAATTTATAGAACCTTCATGGAGTTGGTTAGAATATCCGCCTACGAAAGAAGTGATGTCGCCAGTGCGGTAGCGAGAATTCCAAGCCTTCGACAAAGTTTGACTATCTGGATGGAGACATGAAGTTAAATAAGATTTCACGCTGTCTGTAGCAGCAGCTTACCGACCAGATAGCTTATAGCAGTGGAATCACGATACATTTCCCAAACTGACCGATATAACGGGTGAATTTGCATCTCCAAAAACGATAAAGCAGGCAGCACAATCCCTACTTTGCTGCGACTGCTCGATGTTATATGAACTGCAGCTATCGCATGCGAAGGGAGGGCACTGCTTTAGTTAAATTTAATTTATTAGTTTTATCAGCCTTTTATACACCTATACCGCTTTGGTATATTTTGGCTTTGACCTTCACTGTCGCACACTTTGCGTATGTCGCTCAATATCTACGAGACAAAAACATCAAATCTGCTTTGATGTGAAGGGAGTTTGCAAGTCGATAGATTTTGACACTCCCTTACCTTTCAAAACCTATTCCACTCTATGCCAGTTTTAGAGGAATTGGGGATCAACAAATCATTTATGAGAAATGATGCAAAGTTTTCAAAGGCATAAACGGTGTTAGCGAAATCATTACAGTGTGTCGCCCTAGTATATCGGTTGCTCTGCATCATCTGCTTTGAGATTTATACTTCGCTACGCGATTAACGCGATCTTTGTGACTATCAGTATAAATGGTTCCCTGTAAGCATTTTAAGCATGGCATCGAGTACCTTTAGCAGATTTTGTATAGTGCGGATCTTGGTTTGAGGATTGTCGCAGGTAATGAATACATGCTGTCACAATTCTTACATCAAGGTGAGAAGTCTACGATGAATGAACTTTTAATTCAAGACGACAATCATGTTGATGGAAGTGAAATGAATTTCTTTGGGTATGTCAGAGCCGGAATCAAGCAAATCCATGTTTTGGTGGCGATTCCAACCGAAAAGGCAGTGTTTCCCACGTTTTTGGTGACCCTTTGGTCATATCGACTGGTCTGATTGTGACTTTCAAATCTTATCGGATCTCGTCACTCTAGTAGACCCCATGGATTGTCATGGCTAAGCGTGAGAGATGGAACGACGACATCACGACTGGCTTTCTCTATAATAATGACAAGGTCGGAGAAATGGGCAGCTTTAGCGATTTCTATTAGTAAATTTATGAAGCGATACGACCGGAAGAGTATATTTGTAGACCGTGCTGATGCATATGTTTTGAAGCAACCAGAATTCTTCCGAAACCGGCAGGATGGCGAAGAACGCTATGTGCGGCGACGAATTATTTACCCGGTAAAAGGATTAGCCCGTGCATTAATACGATTCGTAGATCAGGGTTCCGTATTTGACGTAGGATCAACACACGTTGTGTGTCAAGGGGACCTGTGCCATTATACACCAAAGCTGGAGACAAGAAATGGCGGGGCATGCGCGCTTGCAAACGCTTAGGTTTGGCGATAATCAAATTCATACACTATAAAAACTTTCATCAGCGCAAAATGCGCCATTCACTCCTACACCAAACAAATAATATCGCCGACTGATTACAACTCACTATGTAAGCTACGCATAAGCTCGGCTGTCACCATATAAAGCCGACTAAGCAGATAGTCTGCATTTAAATGCTTAGCAAAGAAAAATAACCTAACTGGTAATCTCTGTGAGAGGTGTGGCGTTTGCGACGATGTCAAGCACGAAGTGACGCATGATCCGCATCGATCACGAACATCGTAGACCAAAAGGGATGCAGAGAGAGCTTGATAGTATCATACGAAATGGCAAGCAGCTCTTGTCGAGAAATGGATAGTTTTCTGGCTGGCTAAACTCTAACCAATCAGTCATCAATGTAAAATGGCATCACAGCCTATAATTTGCAAAGGGTCAAACAGTTCCGGATATGTGGAACGAACGATTTAAATCCAAGGCTAAATTGAGGTCACCCTCAAGACCTTCAGTCACACTATTGAAAGCCACATCTTCTGCCAATCCCAAACATCTTGGTGCGTGTTGGTGCAAGTAATTGGTCAGCTAAACCAGTATCTTCATTTCCTTTGTGCCAGTGTCGCTCATAAATCTTCCGTGAATCTAATCTTGGTGGGGTCTACGCGGGTACCATGCCTTCCAATGAAGCATTCTACATATGGGATTTCGCCAGCGCTCAATCAAATATTCTGTCTGATGGTAGTAAGCGCATACAGACAATCACCGCTTGCAAGTGTTTGATACAGATGCCTACGTCCTACCTTCCGTGATCGATGTGACTATGGATGAAAATATCGTCAAAATAGGTCTACTGTGCTACCTGACAGCTGTGCCCCGAGACGGTTGAATGTCACTGGTGCGTTATACAGACCAAGAGAGAGCCTTGGGGCAATGCCAGTCATAATCAGTCACTCTAAAGGCGTTCTGCTTGTAGCATACACTGCAGTGGAGAAGATATCACTGATCTCATGGGATATTGATAGCAATCATTAGCTTGCTCAAGAGTGCTAAAAGAACTGAAAACTTCGCTGCCGCTCTGATTGGCCGATTGCACCCTTTGAATCCCTCTCACCCTCTGGAATATGACTGCGTGGTGACCACCTATGAAGCCGTGGAACGGGAGGGTGCTTTATGAATTCGTCTCAATTCCGGGAACCGAATACTGTGTGATACGTGAATGCCTTCATTGTACGCATATCGCGACACACAATAATGAGCAAAGAGAAAGAATCGTTTGTAGTATATGGTATCAATCTTAATATACTTATTTTACATCGCACTGAATTTACGTAATCGCTTTCGGTGGGACAATCAAAATTTGATCGTGTGCGGCAACATGTGATGCAGCCACGTTTCCCAGTAAAAAATCCAAATTCTACTCAGTGCGCATAATAAACTATTTTGTCGTATACACCAAACGCAATCGGAAATCGTACACTACGTATGCCGCAGTATTTTTTATTTAGCGCAAGATTGATTTTGATGCGACATCGTGGACACTTTAGACATCGATAAAAAATCGCGGTTTAATAGAAACGGGAAATCTGATCATTGTTCTGTAAACATTCAGTGATCTGACATATTCAAATAAGAAGACTGCAAAATGCGTTAGAATTTCAGTTTTCCTCTTATATCATCTGAGGCAAGATCGGTAAGGTGGCAGCGGATTAAAAGGTTGGCTCGAACTTTGTGATTGGGCCTGGAGAAATACTACCTGCGGAGTACATCCGACCGGACAGCAAGTAGCAGCTTTGCGCGCTTGCATTAGGCATTCCAGCGACAGTAGTTGATAAAAATACAATGGGGCATGAACAGTTTGTAAACATGAGTTCATCACTTCAAACAATAAAGTGGTGCAAACAAGAAGTGAAAGCAGACCAAAACAAATTTTCTAGTCGCGATCGACATCCCTAGTATCGGAGTTAGCCGATGGAGCTGATGCAAAAAATTTGGACGATTTGTACTGACACATTTGAAGGATCTCTCACGTTATGTGGCGGTGTATTTTTGAAGATTAAAAATCTCGCCAAATTGACAGAGTTCAAGACATAATACGAGAATCAATGAAGGCAGAGTTTCAAGTAACATTAACTATGGAGCAGGACAAGGTAACGATCATGTGTACCTTGTTCGATTTTTATTTGCCATCGTACTACACACGTGGGTACTAAAAGTAATTACTCCAAGGCCGCGAATACAGGTATCACTAGAAGCTGAGGGATATCTTCGTGCTGTGCAAATGTGAGGTGACGACTTAAACTGCGCGCTTGTACGAAGTTAAAGCAAAAGAGCATCACATTCCACAGACCTTTGCAATTAAATTTGCAGCAACGATTTCGCGGCGCAAGAGGTTTTCAGTCAGCTCAGGCTTTACAATGTCATACCATTTCGCTGTAAACCTTAAGCATCAAGCGAATGATTGCATCGAACGGAAACGCTGTGGCATGCTCGAACGGTGTAATGCTGTATCAGGTTTCAACACTTCTTTTCAATCATGTTAAATACGCGTTTGCAGCTTCTAGTCATGTGTTACCACCAAACTTGATTTTTAAAGCAGACGCAAGATAAGGAACGACAGATGTTGCCATGATTCATCTTCGAAAGCGGACGTCGAAAGACTAAACTTTCGAAATCGTCTAGTCTAGTACATTACCAGTAAGTCCTCTGAATCATTATCGAAGCTAATAATTTCATGCAATAGGTGTCATTAAATAGCAGCTACCCCCACAGGAGAGCGACAGCAACAACAAAACCTTTGAGGCATCTTAAATTAAGCATAAAAAATTTAAGCAGGCGGCTTGGCTATAATATAAAGCAAGCAAAAAGTGTAGCACAATTATCACTAGCCATGTGGCGGAAGATTTTACATTTTAGTATGTAGCTCTTACTCATGAGAGCTATTGTATAGAGTGGATACTTGATCAGCAATATCACAAATATTACTGAGGCGACTGATCACCCCTCCTTTGATCTCAACCATGCAAAGTGAAAGCTAAAGTCGACGCCTGCAGTGTATTAACAATATTAGGTCAGGCTAATATCAGTACAAAGAGCTACATATCGTACCAGAATGAGCAAGCTCATATGTTAGTACAAATAACATCAGAGTGAATAGTTTTTGTTGGATACAGACCATTTGGGTCTCGAGCACAAAAGCAACCTGATACAATGGATTAAGCTCAAACTTGCGCTTGAACATATGACTCATTACGAAAAATGATCCTATTTCCAGTAAAGCAAACAGCAAGATGTTTATGGCAATATGCTGGTTCCATTTACCAGCAACTCCAGGATAGTAAACAACATTTGGAAGCAGCTCAAGCACAGACTTGTATAAGACATAGATCACCGGAACAAAGCATTCAATGTACTCCACTAACGCCACATACTCGCAATGAAATAAAAGTTGTAGTCCTTGTGAGACGATTTTTTCCGATTGTTCACCCCTTTTTGCATCGACGTCATCACATTCTGATGTAGTCTGATTAACGGTGTCAGGCGTCAACATTGATGTGACATTTATAACACTTGGTCCTGCCGGTAGCACTGCAGATTGTTGAAGAAAACGCAGCACAATTGTGCTTTGGTGACGAATGATTGCTCTATTTGAGTCAGTTTTATGATAATACGAGCCCGATGCTGCAAGGGTCTGAAGCTGCTGAAATCGATCGTCTGGAAGAGGATGCGGAATACATGCCTGTAATCGCACTCCATGCAATCTGGTAATGTTGTTAGCACCTGGATTTCGCGTTACCGCAAGGATCACTGCTGTTAAGTTTGGTCTCTTTAATGATATTTTTAATTGACGAATGCTCGCTGTCGAAAATCGACGATCCAGCAATGCCACCAGAATATTTGCGTTAGTTTGAAGCTCGTGAAACTCCAGTAGCGTTTGTCCAATATCTGCAGCTATGAAAAGTGCAGATATATAAAAAGAAGAAGCGCTTGACATGCAAACAGAAATAAAGAGAGAGCCAAACAGATCAGCCATAAAGCTCACGGTTTGTGATATCACATCCTCCAGATCGCGCGTTGCATTCACAACGTAATATCTTGCACAAAATTTCCATATTGACAGCATAACTACTGTAAAAGCTTGGTATGATGACGGCACCAAATCATAAATCGCTTTAAATAATGGGTAGAGACCAGCAACGGTCACACAACCAGAAGAATATCGTTGATACCGCTGAAGATATGGCCAACACGGAGAGTCCTTTGAAAATGGTGCCTTGCCCAGCACGAGCAAGACCACTATCGAATTAAAGACTCCGGACACCAAACCTGCAAGCATTACAATAAAAGGAATAGGAAAACCAATCACGCTGGATAGTGATATCAAAGTGGGCATTAACATGATAGTAGGTAAGACAACCAAGGCCAATCCTTGTAAGAATGACACATGCAAGACCGGAACAAATTTTTCGAACTCCAAAACGCCAAAAGTACACGATAAAAGCATATTAATGGTCATACGAACCCAGAATACCCAATTCGCGCTCCACCCTTCTGATACAGGGCGAAGTGGAAGGCAATCCAAAAGAATCGTCACGAGAACAGCAGGCACCGGTGTCAACACGCAAACAATAAGTACGCGGGTGAAAGAAGTAGTCTTGCAGTAGTAATCAAAGCTTTCAAGACGTTCAACAGAATATGAACCTTGACGACCTACTTGGATGCCATTCCATCGTTCTTCCAAACGAGTAAATATTGACACGTTCAAGCGATTCATCATAGTGAGTGTAAGACTGGCAACGATTCCTATATGTGGTATGCACCTTATAGCCGTTGTCTATTTCGGCACAAACACTTGTTAAGATGAAAATACAGCCCTGAGCATCTGAGTAACCTTAAAAACATTTCGGATCTAGTGCAGAGGATGTGCATATTCACTCGCATTCTTTGTAACGGCTTGTCATAATAAATTCTGCGGAAGGAAATTTTTCTGATTGCTTTATGATGAAAAGGTTATGTACGTTACATTTGGACTGGAATGTATCGTACCAACTGGTAAGTTTAATACATATTCAAGTGACGATTTTCGGAAAAAAGAACAAAGTCTAGATGTGATGAGGATTATCACTAGTCGCTTGATAAATATACCAAGTAGAAATGATTGATTAAGTATAGTCCCTTCTGCTTTTTCCTCCTACCTACAAGCGCAATTTTTATTAAAATCCAGCACTACAATTTCCGGTGGTGTCGTGGACGAACTACCCAGAAAAGTCAGTAAAACAGATGATTATGGTGAAACTTGTATAATGCCTAGACCACAAAAATTTGCGGGAAAATAAAAAGACTAGAACGACTACAACACTTTCTGTTGACAATTTAAGACAGCAGAGAATATTTAAGCACTGAGTAAGGCCGATGTTGTCATTGCTCCTCACGACCTACATTTGTACAAAGTGTGTGCGAAGACTCGCTTTCAAGGCACCACGAGCGATCAAGCTCTTGCCGAAAATGTAGCTGATTAAGTCCCTTCTGTTGCACGATTGAATGCTCTTTTTCGGTAATAAATATAGAAAGGAAATGGAACGGGCTGCCGCGTACGTTGCACCTGGGAAGCTGGATCTGGCTGATAGAGCCTAGCTCGCTCTAACGAATTCACACCGACTCTTGTCCTAATCATCACGCCGTGACGACAGTCTGGTGTGACAAATCTGACGTTCTTACGGTGCTGATGCTCAGATCTTACACGATTTGACTGCGGCCTACCACTCAAATTAAGAGCGAGAACATCGCTCTGTTAGCGTTCTCTCAATCCACAAGCAGGCTGCTTGCACCGAGAACCAATGCGGGTGGTGAAACCCACCATCATGTACGTGAAGCTGGATAAGGACTTAATGAGTTTCAGATTTCATTCGCACACTCGATAAGGGAGCTCGTCGATCACCTGTCTTTAGAATATATGAGCTAGAAATGGACATCTGTCTGGGGTGTCGTCGTATACTTTTACTTCGCGAAGTGAGAAGCACGGCGCTGACCACTAGATGACAACACGACAACTCAAATCCAGCTTTGTATAGCCTCGTTGACTTCTATTATAAAGCTACTACAGCTATGGACCAGAACGTTTAAACAGCGCAAAGCATGTCCGGCGACTTGAGGTAATAGCTATTATAGGCGTCTCTGCCTTTTCTTCAAAAAAATCAAGAACGCAAATGCACCAGCTAAAAAACCTCAAACTTCCATGAGATTCTGATTGAAAGTATGCGCTCCTTCACCATTATTGTTACAGACATGGTACACCCGCCAGCCCGTATCTTGCTCATCAAGCAGTGTTGACGATGATCGACCCTCCGCAGAAAGATCTCGTAACCTACCTTTATGGATTGCAAACACTTCTGTCCAAAGGTGGTGCCTCACGCGGCAAAAATTAACTTTTTTGACGCATCTAAGTCTTGGACATATATGTACTTATACATGTTGATCAACTAATTCATAGCACTGATCAAAGCTATGTCTTTTCGTTTTCCGAAGTGATGACTCCAAGGGATATCATATCCCTCCTATCGTAATTTATACTTAAGGTTCCCTCCGTGAGGCATCACTAAAACACTGAGTTTCGTGTGTACATCTGTGCTATGACACAGCATACCGTGAGAAGAGACACAGCAATGCAGGTGCACAACCACCCGTTTTGATGTCTCGATATCTGAGCTGTCAAATTTGTTGCCCTGACGATAGCAAAAAGTGTTGAATGCGAACCGTACACGGTACGTATCATTCATGAACTGGCAACTTCAGTATTTCGTGACATTAAACGATACGTAGTCTTGAAAACACGGAAGCGCCCTCGCAACCCAGCTTTTATCTTATTTCAATAGCGTACTCAGCAGTATAATAACCAAAACACCCCTATCTGCAAGAGATGTGGTGACGATGTAACCGTGCGCCCCGATGAATTTTCTGTGTAAGTTAAAAGCTGCTTCGAGACAAGAGGGTGAACCTTGCGGCATAATTCATTGCAAGTTCTTTCAGGTCATTAACAGGTAAATGTTTCTCGCGAGCGTCAATCGGGTGAGAGTCAAACGTCTTCGACCGGTCATGCCCATCCGCGTCTCCAAGGATTGAAAGCGCAGCCTTTGGCAAAGACTGAAGCCTCACGGACATATTCCGAATTCAGAAGAAATAATCGGCGTAGTCATGAGGTATTCTGTCACAATCTCTTTAAAAGCCTCCTGTGCCGCATCTCAGCACAATCTGACATTCTTTTATAGAATATAAATAAGGTGTTGTACCATGTCGGCTTAGTTACACTGTCCTTTTGCAAGCAGCTGGTCAGGCTTAGCCACTTCGTCAAGTTTGTTATTAGACTACTTGTAAATCTACAATATCTTCGGGGATTGTTCCACAAGACAGTTTTCCCACTTAAGAAAAAAGAAAACGACAATTGTCGAAGAGCCTATTCAATTACATACACTCGAGCTCTACTTGAGGTGGTTAATAAGGTGCCCTACATTCAACTTCCCAAGCATTACACGAATATTGACTTATATACGTCTGTATAGGTTTGTGCCCAGGAATACCCTATTGACTTCGTAGGTGCATTTAACAATCCCAATGGCATAACCAGCCTCTCTCAGATTATCTCACTAAGTGTACTTACCGCAGTGAGAAGAATGTTGCTGATTCTAACGAGCTGATGATAAATATCCATAAGCCAAGTCAAGTAGGGATGACCATGCTGGTTTGATATACATTTACACTAAAGCTAGACTTGCGACGGCGTTGCATCACAAAAAATGCGGTAATATTCAGGGAAATCTTTTTTGGGGGGGCTTGCACAGAAGAAGTCGTCGACGACGTCACAATGTTTTCTTGAGAAGAATCATTGTTGTGAAACGCAATATTTGCTTTAAGGAACCAAATTTGGAGACGCACTCATCTATCACGGGGTGTCACGAGTGATAGTTCTCTCGACACGAAATCATAAATTCTCTTGCCAATGATCCATAAGACCCCTGCGGATAGCTATACACTCCTACCGTGCAGTGCTATGCGAGTGTCCTCAATAACAGCTACATCCATGACGTATGACAAGCTCAGATCCTCGTTCGGTACCACACGTAATATTTGGCAGGCTTACGATAATGTTATCCATTGTGCATACGACCGCTCTATAAGAGCTTCTGTCGCAGGAAAATTGGGAGCCCGAATCTTCTTAGATTACCCGGCTACTCTTTCACGAGATAATAATTCTTTCGTAGCTTACTCGTATAGCTTTACTGGTCCAAACGGTTGGGTCGTCACATCGCTACAATGATGTTTCATTCACTTTAACTTGATGAAATGGCTCTTCTACTCGTGACTCGAAGTTGACAGCTGGTAGCCTCACTTTCAATGGCTCTGACACCGAAATTGTAACACAAACACGGAGAAACTATCTCACAACAATTTTTACCATCCCTTAAATGATATATTGTGTGAATCACGAGGTGCTGCGGCCAACTCACGTCTTATCTAAGATACACTCTAAAAACGTAGTATACGATAGATCTTTTTGGTTGTAATCAACTTCCGCGATTCACTGACGCCTTTGCCTTCCGATTTCTGCTCGAAGTATCAATCTATACCATTGCTTTGGACATTCCCACGTATCTCAAGGAGTTGATGCCTTCGCTAACAGCGCTTCTGCTTACTGACAAAGGTGCATGTAAGGCTCACCAAAGCTCAACCAAAGGAGAAGTGCGTAGGTCCAGAATGTTTTGACTTCTAGTCGAGTGATAGTTTGCGGCGTTCCCCTTAACGCGACACCTGGAAATGGATTGTATCACGAATCCAAGTCCAGGACTTTCGGGTTATCTAAGCTCTAAGCTATCCATGAAAGGTTTTTCGTAGCTTTTGATACTATTGTCATTGCCCCTGTCACAAAATGAATGGTTTTGATAATCATATATGACATCATTGTGTTCCCGCATATGATCTTTTTCCGACAGTCACACCACGTATGTGATTGCTCGATGTTCTTAAATCTTTCCACGACTTCGAGTGCAAAATTTTAACATCTACAACGAGCAACCCTGAAGTGTGAGCTTCATCTCTTTTAAAAAACAGAATTCTGCTGAATACAAACTCTACGAGATACGATAGAACGCAGTTCTTCCTCAGTAAGTTGTCCTGTGCCTCATGAATGCTGACATTACCATGCAAGGTTTTCAAAGACTTCCCTTGCACAAGAGCTTAACCATTCGTATGTCTCAGCCGAGAACAAAAGGAGGACGCAAGGTACAGATGTGCTAAAATTACATAGATAAGACACTTTCTGATACCGTAGAGCTGCTTAGCAGCGGATATATCTGTCTTGTTTTCTATTGAGGCTGAAGTCCACAGCATCCGGCGCTTCCACATTATTTTCCTTCTAATTTCCGCTCTAAATGCACGTCTACCGCTGCCTCAAAAGATGTAAGGTGGATGAGAAAGTCTCGATGAGAAGCACCGTTCGGCGGCTTTTCATAAAGACTGTACCCGAAGGCACCTATGGCATCGTGTACATCGCTATTGCTGCGAGATGATCTTGTTTCCCCGATCTTGCCTATTTTTACGCTTGAAAAGACATTCGAACGCACCACACATGCCTTCCAGGCAGTGGAATTTCCAAGACATCAGTATCTCCGGATGCCTATATTAAAAATGTCACTCTCTGTATGTCTGTGCCCATTACCGCGCGCGGCTCTCTATAACGGAGACCGCGATAGCGACGCACTGTCTTTTTGTTTGCTAAATCGATGACAATATGTACTCTTATGTTGAGTCTTTAAACTAGCCTTTAAAAGCCAGACGGTCAACATCGGCGGACAAACGGTGGAAACAACTCTCTCCCAGCGGACTCCGGTAGAAGTGTATTTGGTTGTATCTCTCTAGCATATTAAAGAAGCTAATTAGCTACTTAAAACAAGCAATTACCTCCTTTGGTCCTTTGGCCGTCAGTTCTCTGAGAACATCAGCATCAACGGTAGGCGTAAGTTTGTTGCGTCAAGCATATATAATCGAGCTTTCATGGTCTATGCTTGCGGATGATATATTCTTCACGCCTCGATCGTTGATTAAGTATTTGCGATATCAAATATAATGGGGTGCTACGCTTAAAAGAGAAGTCTTTATAACACACGTTTTCTTAAACAAACGTGCAGAAATTCATTATGCGCGCTATTACAAGGAACAGTACTAAGAAACTTTTTTGTACCTAGGTTTCATTTAGCTTCGCTATTTCGAGCAATCACTTTCATGTATTTTAGACGAGACTTATACATTTACTTATTATAATCAGGTTTTTTTCTTCTGTGCGAGTAGCAGACCATGTGTATCACGTCTTTTCTGTTGCAAACTCGATGAGTATATTTACGTTACTTATGAAGTTTGAGAGTTCTATCATTGCAGAAAATTCATCGAGGTATCATCTATCTACCAATTGATGCCTGTAAGACAATCGTGTAGACGAGCATGTAATGCGACTACTTACCTCGTTATCCCTTCCCATCAAGTCGTGGCAAATGTAGCAAGGTAAGTACTGTATTATTGCAACGGAGTTTCCACGCAATTACATATAGAAAGCGTTGGCCCTCAGAGTCCAACTTCATCGTAATCAAGTGTTTGTTAGCTTTGCACCGCAAAGAAAACATTTATTTGCGATTGATTGATCAAGACAATACCTATTCTTTATTATTTGACGAGCACTTCGCAGCCCCGAATGTCATGGACTTCTACTTTACAAAGTTCCATCATCTTCAAAAAAATACCGAAACCTCGGGGCTAATGAATACTCAAAATTACACCACAGTACAATAAGAGACTTTTACCGCTGTACCGTATAGCTTTTCATACAATTATGCCACTGTTTTTAGAAACACGAGTTTACAGCGCTTGCCCTATTACAACCTCTCAACTTAATTTGGGAGCGCAGGAAATACTTGCATTGAGAGTTCTTTTCCGAGTTAATTTAATTAAATGGATTAATGCACCTCATAAAAAACCCGGTCAAGCGACCGATAAGCCCAAAGAATTGCACGGGAAGCATTGCCCGATGCATACCGTTCTGGTGGCGCTGCGAATTGAGACCCATTGTCGGCTTATGCTCGAATTTGCACAGTTCAATGCACAACGGGGACGTCGAGGTGAGAGCCCATCATCTCAATTTTCCTGGTGTTTACGTCATTATTAGACAGCATGTACGATGACCAACCAAAAGGCGGTTCACCATAGTAGGCAGTCCGCTACGACGGGCGGTCCTGCCTCGTTTTTAATGAAGACAAGGTGAAAGGAACGCGAGACCTTAATCGGAGACGAAGCCAAGTAAATCTTGCAGATAGGGAACCTCAAACTCCGATCGATAACCGAATGAAGGTATCCCATCAGTAATTGCCCTGGTGTACACGTAGGTCTACGAAAAAAATTCAACGCGCGAAAGTGTGTTACCCGTTGCTTATCGTACAACTCCTACGGAGGACAATAAAAAACGACTAGCTCTCGTAAGTTTTCTCGGTTAAGACAGCATGTTGACTCTCTACGATAGTCACGGTGAGCATCCAAATCTGATATGGGATAGATCTCGGATAGGCTCTCGGAGCTTCGCCATCGGAATGTATCCCCAGCTGCTAAGAACCGCGCCACTGTTTTGGAGAAGAATACAACAAAGTGTTTAAATTGCTCGTAAGAGCGGAATCGTGATATAACTTTTCTCAGCCCGTGTTGAACACACAATGTGTTTGCACTCCCTTCTGGATACCTGTTGTATAATTCAAATTCTTTTTCGCTACGTTGTGCAGAGTGTCCATCTGCATTCAGGTTTAAGCTAAAGATAGTGGGTAGACCGCAAATTGCCCGATGGTGCTCGTAGCTTATAGTGAATTGGATCTAGAACTGCATAGATAGGTAGGATAACTGCATCAACTATTTTTATCGCATATTTGCGTGGACTTCCTTTTTAAAAATCAACGTGTTGTTTCTGAACGTTATAATTTCAGCCATAGCATCACGTACCCTGCGCGTGACGCTCAATTTCAAATCATTGGCATGTTAACGAAGTATAACCGGGTTATCAGCAAATCGAATTGAGCCAAAGCCCTTCCCTACAAATGCCGGTGCCGCATCGTGCTGGTGTTAAAAGTAACGGATGTTATTCGCGAAAAAGATGTAAGTCTATTGGCAAATAATGCTGTGGTTAAAGCAAGTCAATGATAGTGTCACCCTTGCTTCAGGATCGCGCTCTCTCCACACAAGTGCTTTGTGGTGATGGGGAAGGGCGCTACAGTATAGCAGAAAACGGCATTAGGTCAGGATTGCAAAACCTAAGCTGAAAAGTATATTTATTACTTCCGTAATATACTCTGTAAAAATTTTCAGTAATCACTCTTCGCGTTGAACTATTGGCTATTAATTCCAAATTGAGCTCCGAATCGAACCCCGATTAAGAGCGTCAGGCCAGCTATTACGTTTAGCAGAGTTCGATTTTACTTCAAACAAACATAATCTCAGACCTGTAAAAGTTAGAGATACAGCAGCGACATCATCTTTAGCACTCTGACTCAGTGTGGTGTGATTTGTTCGCGAGAACTTAACGAACTTCTTCGCCGATGCAATGGTCTTAGTAGATGAAGATTTTTTTTCTTCGACAGAGTAGTACAGATTACATATACAACGCCGTAACAATTTAAGAAGAGCTGTACAACCTCATAGCCTCAGCTGATGCCATTGATGTGACAACCGTTTGCTGACAAATTTGGCTTAATGGGATTGCATTAACATTGAGAAAGCATACGCACTCGATCGTATAGAGTCGTATGTCCAAGTATCCGGCTCGATTTACTACCGCAAAATCAAAAAACTTTCCATTCTCGCTCACTGAACAGAATCTCGAGGTCCTGTGTCGTCGTAATATACTTAAGTTTACGCACTGTCGCATCGTACCGCTCACAATAATTGGACACTTCACCCTCAGCAAACGCACCGATCGCTTTTGTATCGGTTATTAAATGAGAGGTCACAATCGCTCCTACCCGCCACCTAGTCTCGCCTTTCATGATCGACTTCTTCTTCTGTGCGTTAGCTGGAAATAACATACTGACAAACTACATTTGCTTGCATAATCCATTACAAGTGCTGTTCGATTCTTAGTCTCGAGCCTCTACGCATAAGAAACTGACAGAATTGTGGGTCATTGCTATTTGGCCGTGATGAGTGAGAATACTAGAGACGATGGCTGTCGTGTCATCGCGGCGCACGCAATCCGTACATTGAGTACCATGGGTGCAAACACGGCCAGCGAAGTCGCTTTACGACATCGACAGAGCATTCTGGAAGTGTCTTCACGCCACCAAGTCGATTGCGATTGAGAGGTATAGCAACCCGATGGGCAAACCTTTTGTCGTTATCAGGCGATCGCCAAGGTGCGCGACATGCGTTTCGATACGCAAAACTCGTATGCGAGGGACGCTGCGTAATTCGCTTTACCTCTAGTTTAATTAAAGTTGGTCTGTCCGAAATTTCTACGTATTGAAGACAGCTACTAAAGGAGAACTTTAAACTATAGACCTTACCTGTAGCCGCTCGTGGTGTCTTCTGAACTAGCCTTACAGATGTCAGGAGTTTCAATGTGCTTATGTTTGCGCCTCGAGCGGGGTGCGCTCCTTTTGACGGCTCCGACTTCAATCGACTGCGCCAAGATGTCGCATCAATTACACTACGTATACACAATAAAATCCGACACAAGATCTATACACGATCTCAGACTGACTTTCACCTTGCTTAATTAATGAGCTCTGACTCCAGCAACTCACCTAAAGAGGTCAGTGACATAACCTCCTGTGGTCAAGAGATTAGCGCGAGTAGTTTAGCAGTAGTGCAAGTCCTACTGGTACCAAAGCTGACATCACCTTTCCACACAGCGAAGTGGTACTGATGTCCTTAACATATTTGCTAATCAACTAGGGTATAAGTAGCATTTTCACTGGAATCAAATGCTCGTGACGAGCTGCTATTGTAAATCAACGACTCACGCTGAGTGTGTCGGTTCAAACATTTGAAGTCCTACTCGTGCCTGCTCCGCCTTCAAACGAAGCTCTTCAGCTCGGCGCTGAGCATTCATTGCTTTCTCTGCAGCCGCTTCCTTGCGTTGGTGAGCCAGGTCTTTGATTTTTTCGATCTCATCTAATTTGCGTTGTATCTCGCACTGGCGCTGAGCTTCTTCCACGCTAAGCTGGCTCTCGATTTGTTTGCGCGAGTATGCCCGAACTTTGGACGCAGCTTGGAATGCTTCACGACGCATGGCCTCAGCTTTCTCCAGAGCTTCACGAGCCTTCTGTTCTGCCATCGTCCGCCTCCGCATTGCTTCCTCCTTGCGCTTCTGGACAGCCAAAAGCTCAGCTTCCTGCTCGTCATGAAGTATCTTGGCTTCCAACTCGGCCTGTTTGTTGAGACGCTCACAATTTTTTTGCTGATAAAGAGATGTAGCCTCGCGAGCCTTTTCACTCATCTCTTTAGCTCGCGTCTTGCTATCAATCACTGTCTGCATGGCTGCGCGCTTACGCTGCTCAGCTTCGCTCATGGCTTGTTGCAGTGTAGCTGACGACATCTCGTGATCAAGTGATCGCTGCGAAGCTTCTGACTCGTAAAGCTTGAGTGCACGTTCGCGCTGGCGATATTCAGCAAGCGAGGCTTTGCATACTGCATCAATCAGCTTCTGATCTGCTTCCTCCTCTGCTTTTTCCCTCGTGCGACGTGCTTCCCACATCGTATCTACAGCAGCGTCAACGCTGCTTCTGGTGGCACTAGACGTAGTACTCGCAGCACTCGCTGCCTCTATAGAATAGCCAGCTTCTGCTGCTACAGCTGCGTTTGCAGCCATCGCGGCATCGCTGTAGGCTGGTGATGGCATTGCTAGTTCCAGATTTACAATGTTACCGTTACTGAACGAGCGACTTTCGGAGTAGCTGGCCTTATTTCCGCGTTCCTGCCTTTGTGGCAAGTTACGCCACGTTTGTGGGCGCGAATAGTCGAGTGTTTCCTGAGAAGACACCGAAGACATTGGAGTGGTGTCTACCGGGACGGCGAACGGAATGTCTTGGGACGAAGGCTGGGCATAACTGAACTGAGACGGGAAAGGGACGTAGGACACAGGCATGTTGGGATTATTGTACTTAAGATATTACTAAATAGGTTCGCTTGGTGAAGGTTCGAGATAATATCAATGTGAATCAAGCATAGTGTAATTTTCTAATCAGATCACATCACCAGCGTTGGACAGGTCACAATCCTAGATAAATTGCTGGGTGCCTGATAATGTCAGAATTTCTTTCAATCAAAGATTGTATCGGATTGCTTTGAGTAATTACAGTCTGCTAATTTGCTCTGGCATCAGGTGGGTAATAGCCATCTGCTCCTAATAAAATTATTCGATCCACAACTATTTGTCCTCCTTGCCTCCGTAATCTGGTGCCAAAGCAGTCACCAGCGCTCAAACCCCAACGTCAACGCACACACTCTGCTGTTTTCTTCTGCCTCTTCATTAATGTGCTGCACATACAGCAAGTTTTGCTGGTTGTCTAGCAAGGAATGAAAATGCTGGAAGTTCTGGTAAACGACAAAAGACTCAAATTATCGTTTTGGGTTAAGCACAAAATCATCTGTTGAAAAATCTACGAAGCTTGGCATACAACAAAGACATTTCTCTGACAATCTCGAAGAGGTCTACAGCAATATCTTCCTTCAAGCACTCGACGTACAATCATCGCATACAAGTAAAATGGAAATCACGGATAAGTCTAAATTCGTTGTCTAGCTGAAGACGCTTAAGACAATTGTGCAAGTGTGCGGGGTGTCGTTTAGTAAATGCCCTTCGAAATACATAACTACGTTAAACAAGTGGAAAAATAAATGTCAATGATTTTTCATCAGTACTGGTATAGCGTTGTCAAAGTACTACGAGAAACTCATATGCATTCAAACTGCCAGACAATTGATTTCCTTTGCCGCGGAAACACATCGTCCAGATTTATAACCATAGATATTTTAAAATGTGAGGTACGTTAAAGTTACAGAATTGAGTACGCTTGTGATATTCTCTGCAACACAGAGAAGGATCTGATATTCAGAGCCCGCATTAATAGAGCATAGATAAGGGCTCACCGGTCGCCCCTAAGGTGCCGATAAAAGGGCTTTTGTAGTCAATAGTAAAAGAAAGACACTTTGGGAGGTATGTATGTTCGTATGCCGTTCCGTGATTACTCCAGATTACGCTACCGTAATCATATACGATCACTATAAAATGAGCGAGAGGGCGTAAGCTATCCAGCAAAAAGCCCTAGGGTTTACGGAGGGGACTAAAACCTCAATCAAGGACGTGGAGCCACTACCTAGTCTTGTCTGACTTCGTTTTTGCACGAACTAGTTTAAATCTTGTGCATGACACTCAATACGAAAGTATTGAGTAGCGTAATCGCAACAAACTTTAGCAGCGAGATCTCAAAAATGTGAGGTGGAGCATGTCATACCTTAGTAAATTCAAGAACGCTTGGCTTACGGAACTGAGTTGATTTGGTTAGGCGGGCAGCTTAATCAAGTTATGTACTCGACGAATGCGAATGTAGAGCAGCCTATCGAGCTGATTTGGCATCCTTAGAATCAATTGTCTTTTCGCAAATCGAAGCAGAAGCAACAGCTTCTGTCTAGTTCGACTAAAATCGTCTTTGAACATACTAATGTCAATGGATTGATACTACACATGTCCATTAACCACATTTATTCCAATCTCCAGGCTCTAAAAAGACCTACATGCTAAACTACTGCACAACACCCCAGTAGCTAACATAAGCTACAACAGGATCGCAAGTCGAGAGAGTACTCCCGAGTCGGACGCATCGCATGAGCACGAGCCAACATCTCCGTTGCAGAACGTTTAGGCAGATCTGAAAAAGTATAATGAAGGAGTATGCCACTCTTTCTAGCACCGACAACAGTTTTGGGATCGACATCAGATTACTTGCTTGCTTTAGCCTAAAAAGAGGCCATATCGCAACAGGACCATTTAATCATGTAATGTATTCATGCCACTGCGTGAATGGTAAAATATTCGGCAAGACGATGGCGAGCCCTATATTGCGTCCAACGACTTCTGCGTCTGCAGAGATTTCAATTTCTGCAGACCTCCCCAAATAAAAAGTGAATTGGAGAGGTTAAAGTTTGGCCACAGCGGCGCAAGACATCGCCATCAAGATGAAGTGTTTTCTGTGGCGATAGAGGTGCGGCGGCTTTTCTTCTCTTCCATAATTTAGTAAGTTTCTTGTTGACAATCAATTCCGTAGAAGTGCTTTTGTCGATACGTTTCACGTCAAAAATTGGTTCAATCATGTGTACGTTAGTACATAGGTGACACTATTAATCATATTTCAAGGCAACGCCACTTTATCCCCGAAGGTGGTCGATATCACATGTCGCCTCGCAAGACACCCGTAGTCATCCCTGACATCATTCGCTATCAATGGTATCGTCCTAATCTTCTTGATAAGAAACTGCCTCAATCATCGCCATTATAAATAGCAGGACGATAAAAGTGATGGCATCGGCCTTGTGATTTGCCTTTCGGGCAGCGAACATCAACAGCGGCGTCACTTACAGCATCTGATATCTTAATACGCTTCCATAAACGAGCAATTGGGCGTTCGTTACGTGCTCGACCCTCCAGATCCTGCAAGAATCAACAAACAGAGGACATGCACAACTTTCTATTCTAGCAACCCACGAAGATCAAACAATAGTACTGCTGTTGTAGCAGCTGGATCAGACGTGAATATGATATAAAGAAAAATCATTAACACTCAGGGTAGCAGGACTCCCTCCACCTATTACATAGCTTTTATTATGATAAATTATACCCTCACAGTGCTCAAAATAATGTCAGGAGTACAAAAAATATCTCGTTTACAGCTAAAGTTTTTTTCTCCTCCGAATTATGTAGAATGTGTTAAGTACACATTTTGCAGTCACATGGAGCATGTAGCAGTGCAAATGGAGCGTGATCTGCGCTCCAAATACAGCCATTTGATGATAAAATGGTATGAGGCCGTAAATTGGACGGAGCCACTTATCATTTCCCTGCTTACATTTCATGTGGTACTGATGGCTACACTTTGGCTCACGCGAAAAAAGCTAAGCATTCAATTTGCGCTGTTCGTGCTTATCATCCTGATGGCGACAGGCACCGAGACGATAAACAAATGGGCGAGAGAAAACTGGCGCATATTTGCCACTCAGCCTTATTTTGATGAGCAGGGTGTCTTTATGGGTATCTTTTATGCGGGACCGCTCTTAGCTTCAGGTTTTTTCCAACTGGTAAGTCGCGATTATAGAAATGGCTGCACATTTGTCTTACGCCAAATTTCTTCCTTCAGATATTGAGCATGAAAAATATGGTGGACATGATAGTGATAGTGAAAAAAGCCGAGTACCGACAGCAACTTATGGCCAAGAAGAGTAAGTGACGAAAGAGATGCTATCAAAATATGCCATTTACGACAACATTCAAGACTAGGCTACTGCTAAACAGCAACATCTGGCCTTAAAATACTTAATTTAGCTCTTGCACGGGGTACTCTCGCATCCATAGCTCGTGAATAAACTCGTACAAATCGTTCGATACTGCCACTTTGTATGGTGTTGGATTGAGTGACCGCACAACGTCCTCACGAATCAGCTCAAATTGTTCGGCTACATATTGACGTCGCTCCTCTAGAGTCGGTAACTCACCAACAAGACCATTACAACCATCCCAATACAAATCGTGTAATGAAATGACTTGAGATGGCGTGACATATGCACGACGTAGTTCATCAAATGGATTCCGGCACAGCATCTTTTTGCCAACTACAGGGGCCTTTTCATTGCACCCCGTCATTAAATCTAACAATGGCTTCTTATTTGCTCCGATTAGACGAAAAGCCTCCTTTCGACCCGGAATTGTAACCTTGCTCACGTCTTGGGAGAGCTTGATTCGTGGCTCTCCATTGATCTCTACAAGTTTGTAAACCATCCCCAGCGCAGGTTGGGCCTGGCATGTTACGAGGTGTGTCCCAATGCCGTACGAATTGATCTCATGACGCTGTTCATTTAACGAGTTAAGAACTGCCTCATTGATATCATTACTAGCCGTGATATTCAACTCTTTAAAGTAGTCGATGTGGTAGTTCTCACTTATGTCCAAAAAGGCAGCACGGCAGCATTTTGAGAGGTAGGATAAATCACCACTATCGAGACGAATACCGACAGGACGGTGACCCAATTCATGCAATGCTAGAGCGACGCAAATAAAATTAGGCGCACCTGACTATAGATCGCAAAATATAAGCGTTAGTAAAAATATGGGTTTTGCGTGTGTGAATAACAAACCGAAAGCGTGTCATAGGTATCAACCAGCGCTAAGAAAGCGTCGGGAAAGGCGATAGCATACGCGATAAAAGCTGCAAGTTCACCCTATAGTAAATAAATACCATAAAAGCATTAATTTGCACTCCAACTCTCAGAACTATTTGACACTTACATCGTTTGTCTGTGTGTGGCCAAGTTCATTACGATACTTTAATACCACGTCAAGAAAGTTGATGCCATCAAGCATCGTAACTTTTAGATCATCCAGTGTTGTGTGGGCTTGCACAAACGCATGCGCATGTGTACCCATGACAGGAATTTTATGCAGCTTTCCGGCAAGTACGTTACTGGTACCAGCAAAGCCAGCCATGTACGCGTATCTCGAAGCACTTAATCCGCCATCTGGTCCTTGTGCTCGACGTAGACCGAATTCTAGCAATCTTTTATCGGCTCCCGCTGCTCTTTTAAAACGTGTAGCATTCGTTGTGATGAGACTCGCATAGTTGAGCAAATTCAGAAGTGGCGTCTCCAACAATTGACCAATGGCTAGATTGCCTTCGATACGCACGAGCGGAATGCGTGGAAAGACGATCGATCCTTCTTTAACTGCGTATACCTGGATACTTGAGCAATCAATACTTGAGAGCCACGCAAAGAAATCGTCTTCGGCGTGAGGTAGTACTTCACGTAGATATGCGATATCACCCGCCGTAAATTTAAAAGTGTTGACCATGGCAAGCGCTTCTTCCAAGCCTGCAAATACTGTGTATTCACCGTGAAATGGATTCTTACGGAAGAAAAGGTCAAATACGGCGTGGTCGTTGTGACGTCCCACTTTCCAGTATGCATAAACCCTGTAGAGAATGTCAATAATTGATGTAGAAATCGAAAGAAGATACGACGTACATGGTGATCTGATACAAATCAGTAAGCATAGGCCCCACTAAGGAATTGGTAGGCTTGAAGTCGCTGACTTTCGCCATGCTGAGGAGTCGTGCCGTAGGGGAGCCAAATTGTCAAATGAAGAATTACCGCTGAATACAGAAACTTCGATTTATAGCATGATTGTTGTGAGCTTAGGAATTTGTAACATCGATTTAGAGCATGAGTCAAGGGAAATTTTCAACAGATTAAATATCCTGATAAAAGCGATATGATCAAAACAAGCAGGATCAAGAGGGTAGTGCATATCATATACCATCGCACATGATGGCTTTAAAATATGTCCATCCATCACGTAGGATTGTGCAATATCCTTTGTAGAAGAGGTGTCAAGCGACAAGTACTTTTTAAAAGTTTTAGTCGAGACACTGTACTGCTTAATTATCAGTCTGGTCGGAATACGTTGCTTATATCATCCATCTTACCTGTTTTAACGTGCAGAAGATTTCTCCTCTTTTTTTTAATCTCTCGAGCTCATAACATGTTTCCTATACATGCTTAGTTGACTTTGTGCAAAATTAAAGATATGAAAGTAAGTTATTCGGATAATTCGAGTATGACTTGCTAGAGGTTTCAAATCAGTTGAAATTTCACTCTTTAATTTAAATATTGTAGCAGATGCGTATTGAACTATTGTGTGCGTATTTCGTTCCCTTCTGATTTTTGTACGAATGCACAAAATTTACAGTACGCTGTCGTGCAATTGTAAAAATTCGACCATCAGCATTCACAATCTCTTTTGCGGCAGCAATGGGTGTCGCGTGCAATACGGAGTCCACTTTCCGTGTCGCGAAATCGGCTGGATATCGGGGTAGGAACTTATGGACATCAGTCATGCTGATGAGGACTAGATCAAAAGCCTAGCTGATGATCAGCACCGTGAAACTTGCAAATGTCAACATTAAACATCTGCGTCCTGTCTACCTCCTTTTCTCTTCGTGGAGGTACGAAGGGTCTGGCTCCCGTGCAGGGTCGTCTGATAAACCTTTCGGGAGGAAATGTCGAGGACCTAGGTGGGAAAGTGCGGCCAACATCATAAGAACCAAGTGTTCGCGAAGGTCGCGATCAATACGACTTAGCCCAAAAAGTGGGGGAAATTGTTAATGATAAACATCAGCATTCCATGCTGTGCTTAGCCTTGAAAAGTCCTGGTTAACTCAGAAGCGCAGTGCAATCTCATACGAGCCTGCCAAAAAACGATAGCACGCAGAAGCATTAAGAACGTTAAACTCTGATCTATTATCTATGCGTCTTCCGATGAGGACATTAGTGAAAGTGATGTACCTTTTGCTGAGCCTTCCTGAAACTTTTACAGAAAGACTGACGATTTTGACAACGAGGAACGTTGTCATGCCCCAGACCTCGATCCAAATCCAAGGTATGGTGTGGCTTGAACACCACGATCTATGGATCGACTGGAAGTCAAGAAGTCAAGTGCTACGCACCTCTGTCCTAGTGGATCCTCGGCAAAACAGATATTACCTCTGCATGAAAGTAGACTCGATTGGGCCAGGCACAAAGCTACAGTGGCGTCGGTGCTGACCATCCGAAATTGTCTAAAAATCAATTTTAAGTGTTTGGAGCTGAGCTCGGAAACAAGAAGTGGTAGTGATCCGCCATCTCAGGATGAGACCGAGGAAATACGACCGCATATTGCGGTATTTTTACTGAGACAGCAGGGAACGACTGTGACGATCAGTGAAGTTGTTAGCTGGTGTCTTATGTGTTCATGTCGGTAGAGACGAGTAAGAAAAGTAGCCTCATGCACTTCAAGCGATGAAGACTGGCCTGTATAAGTCGTAATTTAAAGGGTGTCTAGAAGCTTCTTAGAATTGGTACACCCTAAACTAGATGTGAGGGAACTACTGCGTCTATCCTACTGCGGGAATGCCCACCGTGCGGATCAGTGAAGCTAAACAGATTTCTGTATAGTTTTCTCGTGATTGGAGCGAACGGGTAAGCTTTAAAAAAAATTATCATCACAACCCTCATTGAGCTAGAGAAATTCTTAAAGATTATTTGCAATAGTCTGCAAGCGACGAAGTTACAAAACGGTATGGTTGGTACCGAAATAAATTTAAGTCCATCATACGCTTTGGGTGATTCTATCATTCGCAGTTTGTTGAGTGCGAGGAGCGGGAAGGATGTCCTCGCATATCCGACGATTCGTCTTTATCCTTTGTCGAAGTTGTACCACACAAAGTAGTTATAAGGGACCCAATATCCGGTTTCTCCCTGATCGAGAAGTGCGTCACGAGATTGACTCGGTTCCCGGAACCATGAAGTATCCTATAAGTCAATGTCTCCTGCCAAAATAGCAACGTGATGCTATAACAGCTATAATCCGTACAAGAGGAATTGGTTTGGTGGAAGAGTTGATAAATCCCACAGCACTCCGATTTCTGTGCGTGAAAGGCTAACGGCAAGTGGAGAATTGTAAATACTTATCAAAGCAGAATATAGCCGGCTTCCGATGCAAACGCCGATTACTGGAGAGGGCGTGCTTCAGAAATAGCGCTGTCAGATGTGCTTTGTTCAGTGTCTTGAGCCTAATTTATTGGCATCATTAATTGCTCATAAGACGCAAACAACCCTCATATTGAGGTGAGAGCTCTCAGCAGGATTTGCTGGAAGTGAATGATTACTGTATAACTTGCATGTGACGTTCGATCGTTTGTGACGCAGCTGTACAGATCATACGGTTCTTTTAAATATCTATTCGTTGGTATATATTTGTCCAAAGTTGTGCAAAGCACGGAGGTGATGTGATCAAGTACAACAGGCGAATTCGAGCAGTACTTGAGTATAAGACTTCCAATATAATGGAGATAACAGTGTCTTTGGCGACAATAAGTGTATTTTGGAATGCAGCTGCAACTACCATGGTCTGCAGGTAACTTCTGCAAGATCGGCTACTGACTCTGTTCTGTAGGTACTCAATAAATTGTTTGACTGGCTAAAATTTGCACAAGTCTAGTACAAAAAATGTCAACATGATTTAGACAATCACGATCTCTTAAAAAAATAAAATATTGTGTCAGGGGTGCGGCAGAAGAGGCAGCAGTTAGAGATGTTAATGAAATCTCATGACTGTCCCAATTCTGAATTTTTCGGAAGCAGGTCGACATTCCATGTTTTCTGTGACGCTGCACTCTCTGCAATTGACTCAAGTTTATTATAAGCAGATGTCAAGGGGCTGCGCGCGTAGATGCGCTAAAGTCTTGCCTGCGCAATGCGGCAACAAACGACCTCCCTGTTCATGAATAAGATATTGCAATGGAAATATGATCATGCGAAATTCAGAGCCGCCTGTTTGGCTCTAATCCATTTGTTATCCAAACATATCACATTGCGACGTCATCACCACATCTGTCATCGAGATGGCAAGAAGTAATGAATATTTGCCAAGTATGCCTTGAGGTAAAGTTTAATCCTTGTCAGTCTAATGTGATGGTGTATATGCCCCGTCTGAGTCGCACGTCACGGTAGTGATGTCAGTACATTGTATTATTAAGACGCAACGAGTAAATCTTCAGAGATGCAAGAGTTTAGAACTCGAATGTCACTTAATCACCGTGTTTGGTGGCGCGTATACACCATTATTTCCATTCCAAAGCTTGCTCATTTACAAAACTGACCAAACGTGTGGTTGATACTCATTACAAAAGTCTTAAATATAATATAGTGTTTGCGGCATATGATAACCCTTCGGATGGCCATAAACAAGACACCCAAACCTATAGTTAGTGAGTGCTACAGCTTGGAAAATTGTGAAAGCTGTTCAGCACGTATGTGCGCATGTGCAAAATGTGTCAATGCGTAAGACGCTCGTCGCATGCGTCGGTACCTATGATCAATGCGTTAGTATTTGAAGACTCCATTAGCATAAAAGGAGATCTTGTCACGACAAAATTCATGCCCATTTATATCTACATTGTCGTTTTTGTGGTATGTCAGAGCAGAATATTCTATCCCACTGCTGACAGCAACACCATCAACGGAGTGGATACAGCCAAGCTGTCTATCTTAAAGTTTGTCGCCAACATGACTTGCCGGTGCCCACTGTGACGGATCGAGATCCTCACTTTTACCGTAAAGTATTTGCTAGGTATCCGGGCGCCACATCAGACTGTCAAATGATGGTCTTTCTCTTACTTATGGACAGGCAGTACGCAAAGATAGCGTAGTGGGGGATGCACTTTGTAGCATTTGAGCGGAGAGACCGCGGTGCAAGAACGAAATGTCCACTGATATCAAGCTTGCGCTAGATAACGCAGTGCATGCCTCAACAGACTTTACATCATTGTACATTGACGGCTCGACTGGCCCCTTATTTTTTTAGAGTACCGCGAAGCAGCACCGAAGTTGGTGTAGATACGATGTATTTCGAAGAAATCAGCTCGGCTACATATGTTTGACCTGCATCTGCAGAGTGCTCGACGCTATGACCGAGGACCAGAATATGCAAAAGTAAGATGCATAACCCAGTGCAGATGTGCTACACGATGTATGTTGTACGATGAGGAATTATTAACTGTGTTAATCCTACCTGTCGGTAATTCTTAACAACAAATGACCACTCACTACATTGTAGCATTAACAGTCGTACCCAAAAAGGTTTGGGCTATACGCTCGATATCTATAAGAATCCGAGCATAATTATGGCGTTATGTGGGCTTGTTGAATCCATTTTTCAGTATAAGGCTTTAGAGCTATTTGAAGAGCTTTGTTGAATACATAACAATGTCCCAGGACCCCCTTCAGCTGATCTGTTTAGCTGCAATACGGTTTTAAGCTGCATGATGACATCAATATATTCCATACAAATGCAAAGATGAAAGAGCGCATCCGAAACTTAGCATATCTTAGTATCGACCACACGCAGAGATTCTCGGATATGCTCGTCATGTAGAGACTGCTCAGCCGAAAGAGTGTCGTGCTCTGCCCGATAAGCGAAAGGTCGTCCACTTCCATGCTGAGCGCATATTGATTTGGTGGGTTGTAATCTGTATTTGTTGATGAAAAAGGAACACCTTGCTCCAAAAATACATAAACATTAAGGTCTTCCTTCGGTAAGGCTGTCTTGGCACCGTTACCGCGACCGATCTGTGCTCTCTCCGCCCTTTTCTCTACTGCAACGAAGCAGATTCGCCCAGCGCAGCGTACTGCTTGCTAGTGATTAAGGACTAAACGTGAAAGGTTTTAGACTTGGTCGGTATCGGAACAGCTGTCCAAGGATTGGGCGAGGCTGATTGCTGACGGAATGATGAGCTCGAAGTTTATGTCAAACTTTGTACGCAATGTGAAATATTAAACGTCGCTTTGGGAAAAGGTTTGTAGCCCTGAAGCTGGCTTTTTAAGCTGTGAGATATTTAGATTGTCTTGTCTTCTTAAACATGCGTAAATTGAGTGCAATACCCTTCAGCAGTCTCACTATTAATGAGTGCCTAATGCACATTCCTCATGAAGATACAAAAATTTTCGATCAATGCTACGCCACGCGCCGATGATACGACTGAGATGCTGCGTCCAAGGGGTCAGAAAGGACTTTTGAGTGCTCGTTAAAGAGATACACCCCCACTCGGCAAGCAACCTCTGATGGATTAGTTCTTTCAATACGATGGCATTGAGTCTGCAATAGCCTCTGCGACACTTGCGCTCAGAAAATCGGAAGATTAATCCGTCACCTTGTTGGACGTTTTCATGAGCTGCAAGGCAGAGAGTCGTGAATCTTTTCGCCTCCCAGAACAAAAATGGATAATGCAATTCGTTCCGACGAGAGGCAGGGCTTAGGGATATTCTTTTTATCAGCGAACGACTTTGCTGTTTGATTTTCGGTGAAGACGATGAGGTTGAGTCGGGACTTGTAGAGTCACCCTGGATCTTATCTTCCGACTTCTTGGTGGAGTGTTTTAGCCCATATTCTGCATGTTTGTAATTTCGATTCGCTCAATAATAATCTACATACGGCAAAATCGCTTCGTACAATTTGTAGTCTTTAGGGTTTGTAAGGTAATTCTATACAACACATTTTAAAACGTCTCCTGAGACGATCTTGATAATTTTTTTGGCAGGACAAATGAAGTGGGACTGTATTAAACATTGAGATCAACGACTCAGTCTATCGTATCCCATCCACCGGAGATTAATTCGAGGAATTTATCTTGCAACTGCAACCAAAGACCTTACTCAAAATATACTCGGGGGACCGCGACAAAGCCGTTGCGCATTCTTTCTCAGCATTGGTACCGCATACCACAATTGCGTTTCTCCATCTCATCTTGGAGCCTAGGGCTGCTGCCACTCCTTTCTTCCGAGCTTAGATCATAGAATGTAGCGATACTACTGCTACAATTCTATGTTATGCGCCGAGGCTACTACAGCTTTAAGCCAGTGACTAAAGGTGCTACAGCTTTCGAGCGAAGATGGGTTTAAGATTCGCAAAATCTTCTGAGAAAATGCGAGGCTTTTCCGTCCAAGCGGGACACAGCCCATGGCTTTCCAGCCATATCTAGGATAAAATCGTATGTTGAACCCAGGCCTCAGATTTAACGACGTTACAGGCTGTCAGCATTCCAATGATTAGAAGAGGGTCCGAGTACTCTTCGACATGACATTATATCAAGAAACACGATAATCGTATCTCTTATCATGTAATGGGATTACACGTGCCCTGGTAACAGGTGTTTGTGTCACACGATATGTGTAAGGTGTGACTGCATCCAAACAAGAATATTTTCTGTTTTTAAGTAGCCAGTAGTTATGCATGTATTTGGATTTTACTATATGTATTTAGGATATTTAGGAAAATCTAAAGTTTTAAAATTAGGATAAAAAAATTAATAAAATCAGTTTAGATTTCTAAACCGGAGTCAATTAGCCTAGGGAAGACAATAATCACTCTAGGAGTAAGCGGATTCCAATCCGCTAGCTCGTACTTGTTCTAAGTATAGAACGAAAGGTCGGTGACCTAAATAATGCTTTCTCAAGCGCTAAGCTACGACAGACCCGCTGCATATCATCATCTTCAATATCATCGCTTAAGTATTATCTATCAAGCAAAAAGCGTCGTACGTAACTGCACGATCCTATCATTTTTATTACTTCATATAGTTTGGACCCCGATGGATCTACCAGCAACAACAGGCTGTGAGCGGACTTCTCTGGGAGGTAAACCGACTTGCGCCTTGTGACATTTCCCAGACAGTGGTATGTTAATCGAAAATGTGGTGACTCTTTGTATCTTCCAGCCGAGAGAGAAGGGAATACGTAGAGCGCAAATGACCAATACTGCCATAGTGCATCATCTATGAGCACCACGGTGCTTCTCGGCGGTCGCTTCTTCCTCTACCTGGCGCGCGTGAATTTGAGGCACGGCCGTGCTCTGCATCCAAGATAGTTCCCATCAAATCTACAAACGGCAGTGTGAATGTGGAAAGATTCGGCGCTTGCCGCATCTGTACAGGACTCTTCCATGAAGATGGAAGTTGTTACCGTCATCAAAAGAAATTTAGTCATCCACCTTTTTGACTATGTAAACTCCTCATTCTCTGACATAAACTGTCAACTTTTGCTTTCTTGACGTGGGCATTGCTATCGATATCTTACGGTACGTGTGATTAGGCAGTGCGAACAATCGCCCAAATCAAAACTTGAATCAGGTACGTTGTCTTTGCAGAGAACAGCACTTATGTATCCATTATTGCGTGTCTTTTCTTAGCTTCGATACCGCTGCTAGCGTTCCGTTTGGAGCATGGATGTATTTATTCATGGTCATCGCAGACTCTAATATCCGATTGCGTTCTTGCGTAAGAAGGCTAGACGATTATTCAAAGCGTTATCGCTGCGGGAGTCGCTTTGCAAGTCACAGACGCCTCGAGCGGTTTACTGGCGCATTTTCATAGCTGATGAAGGCCTCCTGACGTTCGACAATTGTTCTCAGCCTTTGTTGCGCTATCCTCTAGCTTATCAAGCACGTTCTATTGACCCGACGACAAATGTGAGAATATATCGTTTTTATCACTACAGAACTAATTCGACTCAGTCGCCGTGCACCTAGGACTCGATATTATCCGCGCTCAACAGTGTACTTAACACATACTCTACATAATATTGTACGTAACCCATTGGGTCAAACTTTTAACCCTATCAGTATATTATAGTAGCAAAAGATTGGCATGTAAGAAAAATTGTCAATTGAAACTATAATTTATTTTCCAGTTAGCGCTCGTCTCATATTTTATCTCCACTACAAATATAAGCAATCGTGTTAAGAGTTTCTACCGTTGCGAAAGCATCTTGTAATCCTCCTCAAGCGAGTTCCCCGACAAACTTTTGCCTTGAAGTGCCATCAGTAGTTGCAAACTAAACGCTGAGCCTCGAAGCTTTTCGAGTCTACACAAACATTACAATCACATTGCGGCCTCTTTAGAACGACGTCACGAATCTTTTAAATAATTGGCTAAACGCACCTGATGTCAGCCTCTAGCATCGCAAGTTTGCTTTTCTTTCTTGTTAAATCGGTCTCTTGATGATTTACTATAGGCATTGAAAAAGCAGGTACTTTAGCTTCGTCCATATGCACCGGAAAATGAGGTAGCGGGGGATCCAGCGGACTATTTACGTCCACGTCGCCATACCACGTGCGCCAACTTGAGTGGTTTGTCAGCGTCTCTAGAAACGCATTTTTCTTTACATTCGAGGTTCTCCTCTTGGGTGAAGTTCTGTCAACTCGAACCAAACTTTCATTATCATCATCGGTGCTCTCGTCATCCGAGAAATGAATATGCTTGATAAAATTTGCGCATCCTTTAGAAAGAAACCACGAACTAAGAGGCGTCGTTGACAGCCTTTGAAGTATAGAGGGGGTACGCTGAATTGGCGGCTCCAGGCCAAACGACGCACCCCAAGCATTTGGCGGACGCGACGGTAGAGTGTCCATTTGTTGAGAAAGACGAGCACCAGTGTTTTTAGCAACATCAGAAATTGTGTCTCGTTCACCCTTCTTTGCCGTCTCTTTGCACGTCTGACTGTCCTTTGCAAGGACTTCCTTGTTATCCTGACTCATTCCATTTCGTGAATCTGTCAAATCCGTATCTTCAGCTGTCCGATCAGACTGTTTCATATAGGAAAGTGTAACATCTGCTACAGTACTAGCAACTTGGGTATCCTTTGCATGTGACTCGTTTTCAAGAACTGATGTCATCAATAAATCACTCGCCACATGAGCCGCAGCGTTCACGCATTCATTGTCTGCCGAAGGGTCCACCATAAAATTGTTTTCTGATATCGCGCATTGTTGTTCTGTATCAAATTGAATAGCGATACCACTACTAACACACTCTGTGTACTCTTCAAATGGTTGCAAAATCTCAGCTTTTGAAGAGCGCTGCTTTGCCGATGGCGATTGATTAAAACCGCAGCTGGATAAAAGTGCTGCATCAAATGTTGTCTTTCCCTTCTCTAATTGTCGCGGTTCGACCTTAGCAGATACCGTTTGTGGTGGAGAGTCCACGGCTATCGACACCGGCCTTGGCTTGAGAAGACCACTCGTAGGTTCATTTGACACCTCAGAAAATGATATCGTACCCATGCCTGTGTCACACAATGCCAGTGGTGGCATTGTGTCAAAACTCCCTAGATGAGCAACTGTGGAATCGTCCGGTCCTCCTTCAAGGTTTGTCTTTTCACAAAGCTTCACCTTGTCGTTTATCGGCAAGATTGTTTCAATTTTATTTGTTTCTGTTTTCTCTGCCTTCAGATTTTGAGATTGTGACTCTTTCACTGAACTATCTGCCTATAAACCAGAATCTCTTTCTTATTAGCATGTTCAACCCTCGCCATGAGCATGATAAAAAAAGCGTACCTGAGCGACACAAAGGGTATGCATCACTGGTTCTGGGTTCTCAGCAGCGACTTTAGACGCGTTGTTAGCACTCTTACTTTTATCTTGCTGCCTTATCATAAGCGACGTCGTTGCGATCAAACAGTCTTTTTCTTTCGCTTTTGGTTGCACAACCACAGGCGATGAAACTATCTTCGCTACCTTCTTCACCGTTTTACGCGCCATCAATTGACCAGCTTCCAACGCCTCACTTTCCTTTTTGTGTGAATGCTGGCTCTGCTTGCTTTTCTTCATGTGAACATGCCGAGCCTGTAAATGCATCTGCTTCGAACCCGCTGATAATGCCTCAGACTTTGCATTCATACTACTAATTGACGGCACACCTCCCTGACCCGACAGAGCAACCACTTTTTTGGCCTTAATTGTCGTAGGAGTGTTTGCTTCATCTATCAATCGTCTTTTTATCGATTCAATTGATGCAGAACTAGCGTCTAGGGCGTCAGTACTTCCCATCAATGCATTAAGCTTTCTTTTTTTCTTGTCCCTTGTCAGCGAAACCACATGTGGCTTGGCGACAAGAGAAGGCGTCAATACCGCAACCTTCGTCTTAATGGGTGTCGTTGCAGCTGCAGTCGACTTCACTATAGATGGTGCTGGATTCATACTTAACGATTCTACAGCTGCCGCTTTCTTCATTCGTTTACGCTTCGACTTCGACATTAAGGGCGTGTTTGTCGCAATTGATGAGTCTTGTGGGCTTGCAATGGCAGTGATGACCTGCACATCCGGTTGACCGACCGTCACTTTCTTTGCGCTATTTGGTGCACTCTTTTTGGTCGCCTTGCTCTTCTTGCCCTTGCCCATGCCTACTGCGAATATCCAGAAATGGAATTTTTGATTTAGGAATTACACGAAAAACTTTAATTAGCAACAAACTTAAATTTTGTTGGAGATTTACGAACGTCAAAAATTTCGGAAGTATTCCGACGGAAAGAATGAGATAGATCTGGGGATCTAAATCTATACATACAAGTTCTATGCATGACTTCCCCTTTCACTCCTAGATATTTATCGTCATGCGCCGCTTTCACATAACTCGAACCACAAACGCGCCATTAATATAATGACCCCCTTGTTTTTAAAATTAAATCGCAGCTATTCGTGTACAAGCTTGCTGGTTGTTCACTGCGAATTGGCTGAAAAAAAAATTGACAGTCTTTTAATGATCATCTCACGCGTACATCCCGAAATGTCAGACTAAAACAGCACCTCGAGAATTTGGTTTAGGCTGATTTTTTTATAAAATTGGGAGAATTGAGAAATGAACAGTTTAGACGTAGCCTAGGTAATTTGTCCTGCTCTTGGTCGGTGACGAATATTTAAGTCAGCTATAATTGCGTGCTGCCGGCTTAATCAAGCTTAAACATAAGTAAGCACAAACAAGGTGAAGGAGGCTTCATTCTTAATCCATATTGAGAGTTGAATGTCTGTGATCAACACGCTTCTCTGTTGCACATTTTTCTTTGTGCATGTAAACAAAAGCGTCGTCCAAATGTGCATAGCTGTTAGAAGAACGGCTTTCAGCACACGTTGCGCGATCGAATCTCCGGACCATAGGACGACGTTATTGCGCACACGATGACGCGACATGATTGAGCACACAATAACGCGACATGATTGCGCCCACGATGACGCCATAGGAAAAGCTTAGAGGTAGCTTGGAATAGCAAACTAAGGACCTAAATACATTTACTTCCAAACTTGCCTTCTACTGCTCACTTCATCTTCTCAACTGGTTATGAACCCAAGTGACTCCGACGACGCGCCAAGCACACCT